CTCTGCGTCTCCGCCCGCCCCTCATTCCTCCTCCACACAGTTGCGCCTTTCCCCGAGATAGAAGAGCTCTATACTGACTGGGACAACGGCTTGCTTGACCATTTTGTTCGCCTCATCGGCCTTGACTACTGGCCCCCTACATTTGACCACACTGCCACAGCACATCGACAGGCATTCCTTCCCATCCGCCTTGGAGGGTTTGGCCTCCGATCATCAGCTGCAGCTGCTACTCTTAGTTACCTGTGCAGTTGGGCACAGACAGCTTCATTGCTCTCCTCATGCTTCACCATCCACGGCTCTCACATTTTCCGCCCCTTTATCACTTCAGATACCATGGACCGCCTTGACCCATGCATTCCGAAGGCCTTATCCAAGCTTCATCCGTCCATCCGGCAGCACTTCCCCACCTGGCCTGCACTCCATGCTGGCTACCCACAGAAGCTGTATTCCTTCCTCTCACAACACCTGGACGCTGTCATGCTCGAGCGCGTGCGGTCCACAGTAACCTCCCCCCAACATTTGGCCCGTTTGACCTCCCTCCAAGGGCCCCATGCTGGTGACTGGCTCACTGTGGCTCCATGTTCTCCGCACATGCAGCTTTCATCCACGGAGTGGTGCATTGCAGCTGCTATTCGTCTTGGTCTCCCCATTCCACACCTCTCATCCACCCGGGCATGCACTTGCGGCTCGTCATTCACGGATCCTTCAATCGTCTCACATGTCCTCCGCTGTCCATCTGCTAACGAGCCTACCAGGGTTCACGACGCTATCAAGCATGAGGTTCACCGCATCACATCGGAGCTTGGTTATGTGGTGCAGTTGGAGGATTCTCATCTTCTTGCAGGACGCCGCCCTGACATCAGTTGCCGTGACATTAGCTCGGGGACAACATGGGCATTAGATGTTTCGGTTGCCGATCCCCAGCATGGCCCCCCAAACTCCAAAACTGCATCTGTCATCGGCTCAGCAGCATCTGCTCGCGAAACCGAGAAACGGACCCTGTATGCGTCTACGCTACAACACCGACCAGACGTGAAGCTTCTTCCTCTTGTCCTCGAAACCTTCGGTTGCTTTGGTACGTCATTCCTCAGCTTCATCAAGGACTGCAGCCGTCGAGGGGCGACACGGCTTCGAGACATGGGTGGTACATCCGACCTCATTCCAGAGCTTTTCGAGACGAGCTACTTCAAGCGCATTTCTTTGGTGCATCAGCGCGAGCAGGCCAGAACCATTTGCCGTCGGGCACAAATACGCTACAGTACTGACACGCCTTCCGCGCCACTGGAACCCACTCCACCTTCCCTGGCTGATTTTGCGTACCTCGGTGTTGGTTCTTGAGACCTCGTCGGGGTCTCTGTTCTAGGATAGCAGGCAACGCTGGTTAGCTTCTTATGCTCGACACCATTTGTATTCTCTGTACAAATATGATATTGTAAATAAAGTGGTAGATGTTCCTTGTTGAACGGTACCTTAACCCAGAACTCCCGGAAAGCATACCAGTATAACCAGGAGCACCAAAAGGGAACTGTGAGCCACAGCAATTGTTGCACTGTTACTCTTCCCGACCTTTTCAGCAAACCTTGCACTGCACATGTACGAACCTACGACTTTCTAGGCTTCTCCAATACACAGTTCAAGTACACATGGGTCTTGCTCTTATTAGGATCATCCACAGGCGAGAGATCCCAGTACAGCTGCTTATACTTGAACATGTTAATCACCACTATATACTGCTTCATCTTGCTTGTCGGCGCAGTCAGCAGCTCAAACCAAAGAATGCCGCCCGGCCGAAGAATCCGGTGCCACTCAAACATAAGCTCCTCCAGTTCTGAAACTGAAAAGTAACGGACGCTTTGAGCAGAGTGTATTATATCCAAGGTGTTGTCGAAAAACGGCTGTCGGGCTTTAGTGGGGACGTGAAGCGGCACCAACCCCCTTAAAGCTATAGTCTCCATATAAGGCAGCCCCCCATCTACACCTTCAATGAATTCTTTATTCATTGAAGTTGTAAGAATGGTTACGTTGTAACGGGCCATGTGAGCTGCAAAGCTCCCCGAACCTCCACCCACATCCAGGCCGATCCGAAGCGAGCCGGGAGGCTTGAGCTGCCAGACCTGCGCCATAGGTATGGTGCCCAGGTACGGCGTCTGCCACCGCTTCACCTCCAAACTCATATTAAAACAATTTCTGCACTCCCCTCTCTCCCGTGTATTCACACACGCGTATGACTTGCACTCGTGCAATCCCCACCGCACATTCTCATCTCGCAGCATCTCCTGACTGAAAAGGGAATCCGGAGGCCCAAGATGGGGTTCGGTGTAATGCGGTGGAGTGGCCGCGAAGCAGAGGCGGCGGGGCAGGCAGAAGCAGTTCTTTTCGAACATGAGCCGTTGAGCGAGTAACCAGTCGTCAGGGCATGCCTGTCGAGCAGTGTAGTTCATGTACAGTTGTAACTCCTCATCCGATCCGTTACACGTCCGAACCGACACCAGCTTTTTCTCATTGGGGGACAAATCCTTTCCAGTTTCTCCTCCCCCTCCCCCTTCCCCTCCCCCCGTTCCCCCAGCTCCCCCGATTACTATCTGCATTTCCGCTTCCGTCTGCTTCTTAGCAGCATCTGCACATTCCGAAGCTAGGTCCCGAGCCGCGCCCTCCACCATGGTCAGATTGACCAGCGGCCCGCACGTGCCATTGTGGGACAGCCGCGCAAGCTCAGCCGTCAGATTGCGCTTGTCGATCATCATCGCATCGTACGCCGTCCGTAGATCCGCCAGCTTCCGCTGAAGCTCCGCCACCGCGGGGGAGACTGGCGGAGCGGCGCTGGAACCCCCTTCCGCCGCTCCCCCCGCCCCCCCTGCGCCACCCGCGGGTGCCGACCCTCCCGCGCCCGCAGCTGGCTCGGAAACAGTAGCGCCTTCTGCGGAAGGGGTACTGGAAAGTAAGGAGCGTCCTTCCAGCTTCTGCCTCTTACAGTGAGATAGCTGCTGCTCGCATATAGAAATGGCGTCTACCCCTACATCTGCTGCTGTCTTTAAATCCGTCGCCGTTAAACGCGCTCCCGTGGGAAGCCCTCCGCCGCTCGATAGAACTCTGATGTCCTGTTTCAGTCGTTGAATCTCCTTCTCCAGATCTTGCATCTCCGTGTTTTCCGCCTCGCGACCCGCCACCTGCTCTTTAAGTTGCTCTATAATTTCGTGAGGAGCCTCCTTGCGGTTAGCATTGGCGGGAGATTGAGAATTAGAGTGGTGAGCGGTTGGGTGGATGTTTATTTCGCGGGCGAGTTCTCTAACGAAGACGAATATAACGAGGATGATGACGAAGCCTAAACTGGCCTGAAGAATCTTCTTGACGTTCATGGCGAAAATTGCGAAAACGACTCGCGTAACTTTGCGAACCTCTGCGAAGGAATAATTAGGGTTGCACGGGGGACGGTTACCCAGCAAATGGCGACTATCTACTCGCTATCCACTCGGACATTGTGCTGGGGAAGAGTAACAGCTATCCCAATCTTGTTGCTCTATGATCTCATTAGGGACCTTCCTAGAAATGGAGATACCGTGCTTTAGTCGAGAGACGTCTGGAAAGCAATAAGACTAATTGCTGTTAGCCGGCAGAAGTGGGAGGTCTGGCTGGGAGTTCAGGATCAAGATAGCGACTAAAGACTCTGGCAACTAAGGCAGGTAATACCTGCCTGCCTATGTGAGGGGGCAGTTAGGTTGTGTCTGTGATGCAAATTTACTCCGTTATAACGCGAGCTTCACATTTGTAAGAAGCGTGCTTTTAGGTTGTTTGTCGGATTTATTTGTAATTGGAAATAATGGAGTACTCTGGCACAGATGCACCTGTTTTCACTTCTAAGGTACAGCTCGTTTCACTTTCGTTTGGATCCGAGGGCTTTTGAGCTCAACACAGCAACAATATCCTGAAGCTGAACCTCAAATCGTATCAAATACGGACCGAAGTCGAGCCAAGGCCTGCAAGGAACAGCTTCGCTTCGCACCCTTCCACCAAAACCGCGGAATCCTGGCCAAACTGCCTATGTGCCGGACCCGACTTTCAGACAAATTCCAAACAATGCTCCAATTGCTGCAGACATTTTCGGGATAATACCTGCTGACGTTTTCGGCGACGATTTCCCTAATAAACTCAGCGTGCTCAGATATGGCGGAAGATCTATTGAAGCTGTGTAACTCAAATTTATATGATATGGTTACGCCTCCGCCACCTACTCGATGTCGTGTAGTCATCGATCCGTCTCTCTTGACGCGTACGCAGCTTTCGCAGGGGCTCAGCCACAGCCTGATCGCGCTGCCACGTGGTATTACCACCGTCAGCCAGCTGGCAGCCCACGTGGTCGAGTCGTTCGGCCTGCAGAATTCGTGCAAAGCCGGAGTGGCCCTACAGGTGCGATACACCGTCTAGTCTTTTATTGAGGCGCATTAACGCTAGAGGATTTCGAGACATTTTACAGCGACTTTGCTTTGCAAGGGTGCCGCGATACATAGCTGTCAATTTGGGATGGGATTAGCTCGCTTCTCACCATCTCCACTGCCACGTGGATCATTCCCCGCTGTGCCACTTGTCTCACCTCCTGCTGCCTCATCCTGACAGGTGGACGGATTCGTGCTGCCAGCGTGGCAGCCTCTTTCCGTGCTCGGCCATGATGACGTCATCAGGTGAGGCCTTAGTAACTTTATGTCATCATCATTAGTTTGATTGTCGGTGGCTTCTGTTCCGATGCCCTTTCAACTATTAAACCCTGTAACCTGGTAAAACCTTTAATTTTGAATGAATATGATCAATAAGTTACATGTACCCATGCATTCTTTGTCATATCGGAAGCAGTCTAAATCAGTGTAGAACAGTTTTTACGTTCCCTCGTCTTTTTCCTCCCTGCTGACTCACCAGGGTTTGCCGAATCGACCACAAAGTGCCACTCACACCACACACCAACTCCACTCCTCAGCACCGGACTCCACCGCTTTCGCAACAGCCGGCCTATGCCCTTCCTCAGTCCCACGCTTTGGGGTGGGAGGCATCTAGGCTGGTTAAGGAAGGGAGGCGTGTTGGGGAGAAGGGGAGCAGTGGGAAGAGGAATAAGAGTGGTAAGAAGCGGAAGGAGGGAAGGACGGATGAGGAGAGAGGGGGAGTTGTGTCGGAGAGGGGGGAAGGTGGGGTGGGGAAGAAAAAGAAGAGAAGGGGAGTGAGAGAGCGGTTGGAAGGGAGATTGGGCGGAGAAAAAGGAGGGGGAGGGAGAGAGAGAGGGCATATTGAGAGATATGGAGGTTTTAGAAGGGGTGGAGGAAAGGAGGGTGGAAGAGGCGTGATAGGGTGTGAGGTGGGGGGGGGGTTTGGGGAGGGAGAGGAGGGCAGGGATCGGGAAGAAGGGAAGCTTCCGAGAAACGTACCAGAAGATGGTGTTGGGGAAGGTGACGAGCGGGAGAGGAGGGAAGAACAAGGAAAGGGGGAGGAGGAAGAGGGGGAAAAGGAGAAGGAGGAAGAGGCGGAAAAGGAGGAGGAGGAGGAAGAGGAGGTGGTGCAGGAGGGGGGCGTTAGAAATGAGAAGGAAGAAGGGTCTTCTGAGTCTTCTAAGGAGGAAAGTTCTAGCGAGGAGGAAGTGTGTCCTTCTGACTCGAGTGAGGAGGAGGAGGAGGAGGAGGAGGAGGAGGAGGAGGAGGAGGAGGAGGAGGAGGAGGAGGAGGAGGAGGAGGAGGAGGAGGAGGAGGAGGAGGAGGAGGAGGAGGATTCAAGTGAGGAGGAAGGGGAGTGTAACGAGGAGGGAGAGGAGACGGGTTTGAAAGAGGGGAGGAAAGGGGAGCCTGTTTTTGAGTCGACTCAAAAGGAGGGGAGGAGGAAAGGGGAGAAGGAGGGAGAGGAGAAGGAAGAAGGAGGAGGAGCGAAGAAAGGAGATGGGAAGAGAGGAGGGACGAAAGGAGAAGCAGGAGGGCGTGAGGGCGGCGCAGGGTTGAAGGATGCAGGTACAAGGGCGACGAGGGGGGCCCATGCTGCTGCGGCGAGAGGGGCGCCTACTGCTGCTTTGTCTGTTAGGAAGGTGCGTCTGAAGGGAGTGTGGTGGGAGTGTGGTGGGAGTGTGGTGGGAGTGTGGTGGGAGTGTGTTGGGAGTGTGCTGGGAGTGTGCTGGGAGTGTGCTGGGAGGAAACGTACTGCCTCAATTGCTACTTGCCTTCCCATCTCCTGCTGTTTCAATCTCCTCCGGACCTATGTTTCGTGGCGCTTCAGCACCGCGCACCACCGTGCATCACCTCACCCCCCACCATCGCCTCCATCTCCCCACCTACCCCTCCTCTCTTCCCCAGCGCCCTTCGTGCTACACGATCCAGAAGAGGGCAAAGAGGAGATGGCTGGCAAAGCAGCGGCAGGCTGCAAATGCAAGAGGCAAGGGGGTGCTTTTTTCCTTGTCCCTATCCTTTTCCTCTCCTCAACCTCTTCCTCCCCTTTCCCCCCCCCCCCCCGATTCTAATTCTCACTTCCCCAGGGCCCTTCGCGCAACACGATTCGCAAGAGGGCGAAGAGGAGATGGCTGGCGAAGCAGCAGCAAGCTGCAAAGGTATGTTTTTGTCACTTATTCTGAGAATTCTTAAAAGAGTCAGACTGCTGCTGGGTTGGCATTATTTTGTGACATTTTCTGTTCATTAAGGAAACTGGTTTTGAGGCGCCTCAAAACTAAGAGTCAGACTGCTGGTGGGTTGGCATTATTTTATGACATTCTGTTCATTAAGGAATCTGCATGGGCTTCCTGGACTTGAAATTGCACAACCCCCGCGCTGCATTCACTGGAAGTAAGTGTTATCCACCGCACTGCACTGCACCACACCCCTTATTCCATCATTCCAGCAGAGTCCTATTTCAGGAAACAGGAGCATTTGGCTGGAAACTTCCCCCATAGTTGTTTTCTTTTCTTTTTGCGCTGCTCGCAGGGGTCGTTTTTGAGGCGCCTCAAAAACGACCTCAATTTTTGCGCTGCTCGCAGGGGGATGGGGGGGGGGAGACGAGAAGAGGGAGGGGGAAGCAGGCACATGCAGTGCCAGAGAGAGAGAGAGAGAGAGAGAGAGAGATGTATGGACTAGCAAGTTACTGGTTCGCATTGCCACTACCAAATCGTTCTGTACCGCACTCCACACCCCTCCTTTCCCACAGGATGCTCTGTACATGCAGCTGATGTCAGGAGCAGGCACGGCGGCAGTGACAGGGATGAAAACAGGCACGGGGACAGGCACGGATGCAGCAGCAGCAGCAGGAGCAGTTGCAGCAGATGGCGCAACAGCAACAGTTTCTACAGGAGGCGCAGGAGCAGAGGCGGCAGCAGCAGTGGGAGCAGGGCGAGGGGAGCAGCAAGGGGATGGGACGGAGAGCTGGCTGGGTGGGTTGAAAAAAGTGGAAGTGAAGAAAGGGCACGTCAAGTTCAGAACAGGGGAGGAGGGAGAAGGGGAGGAGGAGGAGGATGAAAAAATTACAGACACACGTCCTTTGGTGAGTTGTGAGTTGAGTTGACTCAAAGAGTTGAAGTGAACTGTTGAGGCGCCTCAAAAGTAGACTCAAGGGATGAGGGGGAAAGGGATGAGGGGAAAAGGGATGAGGGGAAAAGGGATGAGGGGAAAAGGGATGAGGGGAAAAGGGATGAGGGGAAAAGGGATGAGGGGAAAAGGGATGAGGAGGATGAAGAAGTTGTAATCCCACGTCCATGGGGTGACTGACCACGTCCATGGGGTGACTGACCACGTCCATGGGGTGACCACGTCCGTGAGTTGAGCGAAAGCAGAAAGGGTGTGGACTTAAGAGAATTCCTTGAAGGGTTGGTACCAAGTACGGTACATGAGTAGCAAAGCAAAGCACGATTCAATCAGTTGGTGTTTTTTCTGGGTGGTGCTTGCTTCAATGAGCCGACTTTTGCGACGGCCTGTGATTCGACTCATGAGTCACAAGAGGCGCAGGCAGGCGATTTTAGAGGCGGCTCAAATGTCCCATTCCCTCCCTCCCCTCCTTCTCTCCCCCACTGTTTCTCGCCCCTACCTTTATCAACATGGGAACAATCAAGAACAAGAGGCGCGGGCAGGCATGGGGGCAACAATAACCCCTCTCCTTCTTACATTTTTGAGGCGCCTCAAAAACGACCTCAAAAACGACCTCAAAAACGACCTCAAAAACGACCTCAAAAACGACCTCAAAAACGACCTCAAAAACGACCTCAAGGCATAGGGGCAACAATAACCCCCTCCCTCTTCTTCTTACATTTTAACTCCCTCCTCCCCCGTCCCCTATCCCCTCCCTTCCCCAGCCCATCATCAACATGGGTCAAGTCAAGAACAAGAGGCGCGGGCAGGCGTGGGGACAGCAGCAGCAGGAAACCAGTCTAGAAGGGCGGCGGTTCCGAGGGAGAGGGGGACGGCGGAGAGAGGGGGATTTTGGTCAGCAGCAGCTGCAGCAGCAGGAGCGTTGTTCAGACAAGGGGCAGTTTTTGAGTCGACTAAAAAACAAGCTGCAGCAGCAGGAGCGTTGTTCAGACAAGGGGCAGTTTGGAGGTAGAAGGGGAGAGGGTTGGGGAGGGAGAGGAGCAGGAAGGGGTGACTGTGAGAGGGGAGAGAGTGGGGAATGGGTTTGGGGGACGAGTGGGAGAGTGGGAGGAGGTAGGGGAAGGGGGAGGGGAAGAGGGAAGGACAGAGGTAGAGGAGAGAGAAAGGGGGAGTGAGGGAGCGGAGAGAGGACAGCCGTATTGGCAGCAGCAGCAGATGGAGAGGGAGGGGGGAGGAAATGTGCAGCAGGAGGAACAGCAGCAGCATCAAGAGCAACAACAGGAGAGCCAGAGCAAGCTTGAAGCATTGCTACCGTTGGAGGGCGCACCTCAGGTGAGTAACACTCGAGAAGCCTGATTTCGAGTCACCTAAAACACTCAAGGGCAGCAGCAACAGGAGCAGAAGAAGCGACGGCAACAGGACAGAGCAAGCTTGAATCATCACCGCTGCTATTGGAGATAGCAACATAATACCTCTTTTTGGACAGATGCACAAATAGATTGCATACATATAGGACGGATTTGAGATGATTGAAGTCTCAGGGACGTTTTGATGTGAGCGCTGTGAAATCAGGTTGAGTTGGTCTTTGAGTCAAAATCTGATCGAAACTGCCCCGATGCTCTCAGGTTGAATTGATCTGAGTTGTTGTTGAATTAACGTCAGCACTGACGCTCACCTCTCCCACTCCCTTTTTCTCACCTCTCCCGCTCCCTTTTTCTCACCTCTCCCGCTCCTTCTCTCTTCGAATCAGCCTGGTGTTACATTCGCATTTCGCATCATCACTCACTCCCCTTCTTCCTCACCCTCTCGCTCCTTGCCTCTCTTTCGCTCCCAATCAGCCCGGTGACATACTCGCATATTGCATCATCGCTCTCTCGCCTCTCACGTGGACACCTGAACCGTCATCGTTGCGGGTATGTCTCTCGATCCTTCTGTTTAGGGTATGCTACCTCTGTTTAACTTGCTCCGCACCGTCTCACAACCTTGTGTGAAGGTTGTGCACCGTTGCACAACCTTACTCTCTTCCCATCATTCCCCCTCTGACTTCCAAACTCTTCTGACTGCATGTTCTGTTCTCCCACTCCCAATCACACATCCACCATCACACCCACCCTGTTTCCCTCTCCCCGCAACAGCAAGGCCGAATGATCAGCTTCGACTCCTTCGCTCTCATTCAACTCGCACCAGCAGGCTCTAACTTCCACGCCCCTCTGATTGCTCTCTCTTCCCTGTCTGTCCCCTTCCCTCCCTTTCCCCTCTCCCCCTAACAGCAAGGCCGAGTGGTCAGTTTCGACCCCTCCTCGTCTCTCATCCACCTCGCACCTGTGGGTTCTGAGGCGACAGCTGGCGGCCCCTCATTGGCTGAGGCTGCTGGTGGTGGTGCGGCTGGCGGTCTCCCATTGGCTGAGGGCGAGGGAGGTGAAGGTGGGGTGGGGGTCGAACCGCCCTACGATGAGATGGGTCATTTGAAGGTGAGAGGGAGTGTGTGTGGGGGGAGGGGGGAGTTGAGGGGGTGCGTGTGTGACTTTTGAGTCGTAACAAAAGATATTCGCTTTTGAGAATTCTCAAAAGCGACTCAGATTTGGGGGGAGTTGAGGGGGTGCGTGAGTGACTTTTGAGTCGTCACAAAAGAGATGAAGACGAGGTCGGTTGACACTCCCACCTTATCTGAAAATGGGAGGCACTGTGTGCATGTGCGTGACAGTGCATGTGAGTGTGTGTGAGTGTGTGTGGTGGGCACGCATGCATTGGTATGCCATATGTGCGCACCGTTGTGTGGTTGCAGTTTACTCAAATCTTGAGTGTGTGGTGTGCATTTTCCCATAATCCCGAGTATCTCAACCCCTCCTCACACTCCTCACACTCCTTACACTCCTTAGAAGCTTACTCTCAACTCCTCCCGTCTCTCTTCATCATACAAATGATTATGCCTTCCCTCGTCTCCCACTCCTCTTCTTCCCTCTTTCTTCAACAGGTGGAACTCGCCTCTCTTCTTGACATTCGCCTTGTGTCACGGGCTGACACTGCCGATGGTGGTGGTGGTGGTGGTGGTGGTGGTGGTGGTGGTGGTGGTGGTGGTGGTGGTGGTGGTGGTGTTGGTGCTGCTAATGGCACTCGCACTCTCAACCTCTCCCATCTTTCTTCATTTAAAGGATGATCGTGCTTCTCTCCTCTCCCACTCCTGCCCAGATCGACCTTTCCTCCCTTCTTGACATTCGCCTTGTGTCACGGGCTGACACTGCCGATGGTGGTGGTGCTGCCACTGCTGCTGTGCTTGAAGTTGCTGGTGCTGCTACTACTCCTGCTGTTTCTCCTGCTTCTGTTCCTGCTAATGCCCTTCCTGATGCATCCGCAGCTGCTCCTGCAACAGCAACTGCTGCTACTGCCACTACTGCTCCTCCTGCCACTACTGCTCCTCCTGCTCCTGCTGCTGCTGTCCCCCCGGATGCCACCGCCCTTCCACCCTCTCCTGCTGCTGCTTGTGGAGTGACGCCTCCTAGGTGGGAGCAGTGGGCAAGTGTGGCAAGACTGCTGGAGCAGAAAAGGCGAGCACTCCTGGGGGGGACAGCAGGGGTGGAGCAAGAAAGCAGGCAGAATGATATGGAGATGGACCAGCCAGCAGCAGCAGCAGCAGCAGGGGCAGCAGCAGGAGCAGCAGCAGCAGCAGCAGCAGCAGCAGGGGGTGGGGCAACAGCACCAGGAGCAGCAGGGTGGTGTGGTTTCAGTTGAAGCTGCAGCTGGGTGTGTAAGCAACCACATCCCTCACACCCCTCTGCAGCTTGTAACCAGGTCTCCTGCGGTTATAACCAGCCCTGCTCCAGATGTAACTACCCCTGCTCCGGATGTAACTAGGCCTGCCCTAGATGTAACCACCCCTGCTGCAGGTGTTACAGTCACAGCAACAGCAGATGCACCCGGCTCTGCCCCTGTAGGAGGGGCCAAAGGTGGAGGCAGGGCAACAGGTGTGAGTGGTAGTGGGGGCAAGACTATCAGGTACAGAGGGAGGAAGGCAGCTGGGTTGGCGGCAACGCTTGCTTTGATGCGACAGGGAGGGGGGACGTGAGGGGGTTGGTCTAGGTCTTTCAATGCTGCTCCTGCACTAGTGGCCTATGGGCGAGGCAGGGCAACGGGTGTGGGCGGGAGCAGAGGCAAGACTATGAGGTACAGAGGAAGGAAGGCAGCAGGGCTGGCGGCAACGCTTGCTCTGATGAGGCAGGGAGGGGGGACGTGAGGGGTATGGTCTAGGTCTTTCAATGCTGCTCCTGCACTAGTGGCCTATGGGCGAGGCAGGGCAACGGGTGTGGGCGGGAGCAGAGGCAAGACTATGAGGTACAGAGGAAGGAAGGCAGCAGGGCTGGCGGCAACGCTTGCTCTGATGAGGCAGGGAGGGGGGACGTGAGGGGTATGGTCTAGGTCTTTCAATGCTGCTCCTGCACTAGTGGCCTATGGGCGAGGCAGGGCAACGGGTGTGGGCGGGAGCAGAGGCAAGACTATGAGGTACAGAGGAAGGAAGGCAGCAGGGCTGGCGGCAACGCTTGCTCTGATGAGGCAGGGAGGGGGGACGTGAGGGGTATGGTCTAGGTCTTTCAATGCTGCTCCTGCACTAGTGGCGTATAGGCGAGGCAGGGCAGCAAGTGTGAGTGGGAGTGGAGGCAAGAGTACTAGGTACAGAGGGAGGAAAGCAGCTGGGCTGGCAGCGACACCCGCTGTGATGAGGCAGGGAGGGGGGGGGGGGCGTGAGGATGATGATGAGATGACCTACTAGATGACTGGAGAGGGGGATGTGAAGAGAGGGTGGCTGCTTAACAGCAATTGGTTGGTTGGTTGTTAGGCATCCTCCTTGCTCCTGCCAGTGCTGCTGCTGCAGCTGCACCTTGTGCAGTTGCTGCTGTGATTGGGGAAGTGGCGGAGGAAGGAGATGGGGCAGATGATGATGCAGATGATTGGGAGACGATGGTTGATTAGTACGTATTAGGCACTGTAGTTGATAGTTGAATAAGCTCTTGCATTTTTGTTTGTACATGATGACCACATATGGATGGTTGAGTTGATAAAATAAGGCCTGATTAGAACTTCTGGTACCTCTGATTCCCTGCCCCTTATAGGACAGTTGCGTTGCAGTGTAAGAGGACCAAGAAACACAGCACATACAATATCGATGTGTACATTTCTGCCTGACATGCTTGAGCGAGCACCTAGTGGGATTGTATTGAAACCAAACTAATCCACACTCTGGACTTGTAGAATCTTCCAGTGAAATCCTTCTAACAAGGCTCTTACTTCCACTGGTGCATTTCCAGCTGAGCTGACAGACAGGTCCCTTCCAATCCAACCAATATCCAACAATCCCTCTTCAAGCTGAGACAGTGTACCTCTCTGGAGTCCTGCAATTCGAACAGATAAAGATCATGAGAAGTTTGGATGCCATGAGAGGGGTCCTTTTCATACCGTATCAATTTCAGCAGACAGTCCCTTCCAACAAATATCCAACAAGCCCTCTTCAAGCTGAAACAGTGTACCCCTCTGGACTCATGCAGTGTGAACGGATGATAGATTATGGGAGATTTGGATGCCGAGGGATAAATGCCACGAGAGAGGCGGCACCATTTATGCTGTAGGCTGTGAGGAGGACACTTATCTTGCAACTTCCACCACCCCATACATTCACTCACCCACTCAGTCACTAATTCACTCACTCACTCACTCGTTCACTCACTTGTATGTCTACACGTGATGAACACAGAAACTGTAGTGCACGAATCATATCATACCAACTCATCCTCACAAATCACACACTGGGAAACTTGCAGCAAAACCCTAAACAGCACTTTCAAACATGCAGATATTGAAGCTACGCTATTAGGAGTTTAAACCACATTTTCCTAGGGTGTTGACCATGTTGGGCCATAACATACCATAACATGCAATCACAGGCCATCATCTGGGTGGTAACAACCCTTTCTCACCATGGCATCGTAAGAGACGCCACGATGAGCCATGACATGCAATCCCAGGCCATCATCTGCCATTAAGGGACATGCCATGCCATGACACACAATGCCATGCCATACCATACCATACCATCATGCCACTTTACCATTGTATCATCTCACCTGCTGATAACAGATGCAGGCGCCACATCATCACTGCTCACTTCCTCCTCAAATGCAAACACCAGATGCCGCCCTCTCACCTCCTCCCTCACCTCCTCCAATCCCTTGATACCGCTCGTGTCAAACCCTAAGATCACCTCCCGCAAATACTCCACCCTATCCACCATTCTCCCCTCTTCCCTCCCCGTTACCGCCTCTCTTTCTACACCCTTCTCTCCCTCTCCACCCCCACTCCCCTTTCTTTGAGAATCCTCTGTGATTCTTCTCCCCACTGATCTGCTTTCTTGCTCAAATTCTTCCAAAATGCTAGCTCTCTGCCGGTTCTCTTCCAACCCAGTCGTTCCATCGGCCTCACTAGCTGTTAGAGCGTGCCTGCCTACAGACACCTGAGTCGACTCAGAAGTCACACCGTCAGCTTCACTAGCTGCTGCAAGAGCGTGCCTTCTTAAAGGCAGCAGCTCCCCTGTCGTATCTGCACTGTCGCCTGAATCTGAAACTCGAAGTAAATCCTTGTCACGTCCTTCCAAACCACGACCTTTATATTCGACACTGTTGATTTCTCCTCCCGTCCCAACTTCCGCTTCTTGCTCCCCTCCCCTTCCCTCTTCCGTTCCCCTACCCTCTCCCCTTCCCCCGTCCCTCCCTTCTCCCCCTTCCACTTCCGCTTCCAGCCCCCCTCCCCCGTCCCATCCGCTCTTCTCTTCCGCCAAAAGCCTCCGCTTCCCCGCCACCATCCCTGATCCCCTTCCCTCCTCACCGCTCGCCTCCCTTCCACCACCACCCCCACCCCCCCCACCATGAGTTTTAATCCCGCTACCACGGTCACCATCCCCATCTCCGTGACTATGACCAAGGCTATGATCAAGGCTATGGCTGTTAACGTCATAATGCGTCCCGCGCCGCTTGACCCTTCGCGTCGTTCGCACTTCGATCGGCCAGTCCAGCTCCCCGTCCATGTCCGTCCGCCGTCTTATCCTCTTTATAGAGCGCACGTCTATAGGCACGTCTTGAATGTCGTCGTCTTCCGTCACAGGGTGCCATATCCGCGACCGATCCGAGTGCCCGTCCCCGATACTAGCTTTCATCCGTCTCCGTTTAGTGTTATCCACTACAGCAACATCCTGACGAGCGTAATCTTCCAACTCATCCCCCCCGACCGACAGCCGGTCCCCCAGATCCCCGCCTACTGCTACGCGCGTAGCATACCGCGAACCCCCCCCACCGCTGTTAACCCCGCCGTACTCCCTTCCACTCCTGCCGATCGTAATCTGACTATCATATCCCGCTTCCTTAGCCGCTGCTGCTTTCGCCGCTGCCACTTCTTTCGCCTTCTGCTTTCCAGCCATGGATTCCTCCCACCAGTCGCCCTTCTGCGCTTGCGCGCGCTGGTCCGGGTTGGAAGCTTCTTTTTGCGCTTTCTGGATGTTCCAGCGGGCCGCTTGCCACGTCAGCCCCACCGCGACCCACATCAGCGCGACGAGAATGACCAATGCGCGGTCGATGACGGTTCGCGGGGTCCGCTGCGGGCCGCGCATCATCATGCGGTTGTCCTTAATTCCCATTTTGACGGCGGTGATTAAATAGTGACGGAAAGATGTCGATAACTACGATGACTACAATGAGACGCGAAAGAGGGTTACCACAATTACAATGTAATCGTTACCACTATCTCTTTCAATTCGGAGTAACGGTTTCAAGAACTATGACCGGAGATCTACACGAGATACGGAACGCAAGCAAGTTGCTGATTGGCTGCCGCTCGGCCGAGGAAAACGCCGTGATGCACCATCGGGATCATCCGCATCCTTTAACATCCTTGATTACGAAACCGACTACTAGGCTCGTACGCGATATAGAGAGAGACGAAGGCAGAAGAAATAACAAGAAACACTGTATGGCACGAGCCCGTTTCCTCCTAAGCGATCGGGAACGCTAGAATGAAGTGAAAGCAAAACCAACTGATATAAAGATGCTTCTACTGGTGCCTTGAGGGTGCAGGCGGTGCCTGGAAAGCCGGCAATGATTGGGTGGTAGGCAGACCAACAGCTACAAAACTGGGAATGACACGCGATTCATGCCAAGGAACAGAGCTTCTGCAGAAAAATCGTGCCACGGAAAATGGTAACTGTGCCTAGTGTGCCTCGGAATTTTCTTGCTGGGGGAAAGTGATGGAGAGGGAGCAGGTGAGGGAGAGGCACGGAGTTTGGTGGGAGGAAGAAATGGTTGGGAAGGAAATGGTTAGTGCTAGACACCTATTAGCGCGTATGAAGTGCAGAACGCAAACACCAAGGCTGTAAAGCTAAGCCTGGAATAATTTAAGGCGACAAAACCAAGTTCTCCCACAAATTAGTCTCCCGTCTGTTTTGACCTTCCCGACGCCGCTTTCGACGCCGCTTTCGACGCTGCTGGTTTAGAGTTTCGGACTGCCTTGAAACTTAGTGTAACCTAGCCGATTTAGGTTACGCCGTAAAGCGCCCTGAATTCATCAGTGACATCATGGAACGATCTGGTAGGTCGTCCGACGCACACCGACATGGTTCTTCGTGTCCATCGTCCGTCCGTCCTTCCGTCCTTCCCTCCATCCGTCGCCCGAATCCGTTTGTCGTTCCGTCGTGCGATTCGTAGGAGTTTAGGGTGAGAGCGGTTGGGTAGTTCCGAAACAAGAAGCGCCGATGCGATTTGATGAGCTTACACGTCGTTCTACCATCGTAACTCGATCTTACAAAGCTTTGTGCCATGTTACCGAGCAATTGTGGACTCATTACCCTTCCTTCTCTCCTCGATCGCGGCAGTGGCGTCGAAGCAACGGCAATCTTCCAAGCAGCAGAAGCCTTCTGAGCCGGCTGTGCAACAAAGCCCACCGGCGCCACTGTTTTCTGGACCGAATCTTCAGAAGAACCTCGCCGCTGTGAACCTCAGGTCCGGTATCTCGGAAGCGCACTTGGGCGTTGTTATTCTTCGATAATTCTTTGGATTTCAACCCCGTTCTGACTTCATCGTTCGCCACTGAGAAAAGAAGATGCTTCCTGATTTCTCATCCAGCACCCCCTCCCCTCCCCGCCCCCCCCCCCCCCCCCCCCCCCCCCCCCCCCCCCCCCCCCCCCCCCCCCCCCCCCCCCCCCCCCCCCTTCACTTTTCCACTTCCTCCTCCCCGTTCTCTCCATCGTACCCTCATTCAGTCGCACATACCTTGCCATTATAGCAGGTGTAGTGGCAGGCATATTGGGGCTGACAGGAATATCAGGGTTCCTTTGTTACATATTTGTCATGGCCCTTGGGGCTGTCGGCCTGTTTATCAAGACTGGGTTTCACATAAACAAGTACTTTGACACTTGGCAACGGATAGGTGGAATGGATGGCCTCACGCAAGGTGCCATGGTGAGTCCCATCATCATTGCAAGCAGTTCATTTGACAACGGGGGCATGTTGTCTTTCAGTTTTGGTGCAATAATTGTGTGAAGATTTTAAATCACCATACGTGCTTGTCATCCGCCACTTTCATTTTCCCTTGCTCTTCTCCATTGCCCTCTCTCTTGATCTTTCTGATCACTAATGCGTGAACGTTGGCACATGGTGATAACATGGATTCTGCAACCTGTCAGTCATTTGTGCTCTTCTGGACGTAAGTCTTCATTGCTAGCTCGCTGCGACATGATATCCTGTGCCCAGTGACCTTCCAACTTCTCTCTGACTTAAGAGAATTCTTACATTGTGCAGGCTTGCCTATGATTTCGTTCACCTTTTCTGAGTGCCGACTAGATTACCGTTTCTTTAAAGGTTGTGCAGTTGGTTTGAGTTGATGTGTTCTGTTAGTTGGTACCATCAATAAAATATTATTTCTCAAGCACTAAAGTGCCCATGTGGTGCTAAAACAGAAGACACGGTGCTGCAATGCTCTTGAGTTGTTCAGTTATGCCTCAGCGTGGTAGCATGTGGCTGGACAGCAGCAGTAATAGCTTATGTGGGCACCAAAATGTCATCAATGACATCTGAGCCACTGAAAAGGAATACCATGGACGGCAGGAGCAGAAGACATACCACCACCACCGTGCCAATCAAATACAGCCTGTCATTCCTGGCGGGTTTGGTAGCATACGGTGTGTGGATTAGCCTGTTTACAGCCTTCACCAGAAGCCTCAGCTTCTCCTCTGGTTGATCGGCCAATTGGAAATCACCACACAAGGAATTATAGAGCTCAGCTGATTTGTCAGGCTGGCATAATGTCGCCTCCTCAACTCTCTGAAGAAAGGCCAACACGGTATCCTTGGTTGTGGGACCGCTGCTGGATTTGACTTCGACTTCTGAACCGTCAACAACCTGATGAACGAAAAAACTGTTATTTGCCATTTCACGAGTAGCGCTTTGAGTTGGAATTTCTCTCAAGCCTGCCTGAATATCCTTCGTTGAAGTAACTTCGTCTGGATGACTGATTAGTTGTGAACCTGCCAGTGAGCCCAACACGGGAACAGCAAGATGCTCGCCCGTGCCGTTCACGACTTCTGGAGTGGTGTCCTTATTGATTCCTTTTTCGGAGAAATAAGAAGATAGTGTTGCTTTCACCTGCATCATTCACATTACTCAGTTGGCCGCAAAATATGTAACGAAGAAAGCGACGCGACAGCAAAAACCAAAACGATGAACAAACCTTGTCAGGGACTGGGCTGTCCCTCTCACTACGAGCAGCTGCAAGAATCTTGGCAACATTGACACTTTTCGGAGTTGAAAGCGTCTTGGAATTGGGCTGCTTGTTTAGTTTTGGCGGCGCCAATGGAAGCCCTCTACTCCTGTCAGGCTCAATGCCACTCCGTCGATTAGCTGGGAACAGGTCTGAGCTAATACCCATTGCGGCTGAAGGTACAAGCGTTTTTTCCGAAACCAGCCGTTCTTGACGGGGTGCCGTGTCACATCTGGACATAAATGATAGAGGTGAGGTGAAAGGGAGGGTGCTGAGAATGAGCCTATCGGCGTTGAAGTTGATGGCTACGAAGCCCACCCACAGCACTCATGATGAGGCCCATGCCCGTAAACAGCCCCACCTGAGCGTGGGCGGAGGTGAGTGGGGGAGGGGAGAGCGATGAGACAACACACAACTGGGCTGCAACAGATGGATCCGCATCTGCGTTTGACCCAACTTTGTTCATACTGTTCTACACGTGATGTGCATTTCTCTTCATTGTGTTACACAGCACATAATTTGTCATGCGTAATAAATATTAAATTTAAACGAAATATAAAGAATTACAAAAATTTTCACTCCTACGGTAAACCACGCAAAAATACATAAGATTGTAATATTCTGCATATACGAATAGCACAGCTCTATGTTTTTTAATTTTAGTGGCTCATGTTTTCTGTAGTGGATCTTTACCACGAAAACAAGCATACCGATTGAATGCAGACATTGCTGGGAACCATCACTCACGTCTGTATCGAGAGACGAACATCCACTTCATCCGCTTCTTGGGACCCGCGCAAACATACCTGTCGGGAAGGAGTTCGAATTCCTTCATGGACGCTCTCTTTGCCGCATATGCGAGTGACGATGAGGAATTTGACGAGACCCTGAAAGAAGATAAGGAGAAGGAAAACGGGTTTCTTGGAAAGTGTAGAAGAGACGAGGCAGGAGATGCAGATGGACGGGAAGGGGAGAAGACGAACACAGTCAATGATGGGGAGGGGTACGCTGTATGTAAGAAGAGACGGATTAATCTGGCAGACCCGACGAGCGGTGGAGCGCGGGGAGAGGAAGTGAAGAAAGAAGTCGGAGGGAGTAGAGACGTCGAAGAGAGGAGAGTAGTCGAAGACAGAAGAGGAGGCGAAGACACAGCTGCCGAAAGGAGCGGAAATGCCGATGCTCTTAGAACCGACTGGCGTGACGCCGACGACAGACGATATCCGTCAGCGGTGATGAGCGACAGACAGACCTCGTCAGACAGGATGCATGACGGAGGGAGTAAGCCACCTAAGATCGTTGGGAAACAGGGAAAGGAAGTGACATCAGAAGACAGACGGTCTGGCTCAAGAGATCTGACTCGAAGAGTCTCATTGCCATTGTCATCATCTTCATCAGCAGGAGCAGATGCTGCTGCATCAGTGGCGCTTCCACCTCCCCCAGATGACCTTTTTGCTGATGCACAAGGTTGGGCTCCTTGGTTCTCCAACCCGCCGGTTATAAATTGCCTGCTGGCGTTCCGCTCGTGTCCCTTGGTTTCACCGCTCGTACTCTTGCGCTAGACCTTTTCCCAGACCCACATTCACGCTTTCTCTCCCTTCCCTGCCCTACCCAAACCCCCTTACCTCGAGCTTCCCATCTGTTTCACATGCTCGTATGTCCGCAGGTGAGGTGGCTAAAGCAAAGGTCAAAGCGGACTACGGAGGGAGAGTGCGAACGTTCCCCCACGTTGAGGGCAATTTTGCCGTTCATGTGTTCATTCCAGGCGAGTGCGAGCGAGCTGGCTCTTGGCGATTTGAGCCTTAAGACGTCTCAAAGATGATTTTTGCCGTTCATGTGTTCATTCCAGGCGAGTATGACCAAGCTTACTCTTGGCGATTTGTCCGTCAAAACTACACAATTCACGCGTTTTTGTGATTCTTTTGATTTCTCAACCAACATCTCGACCCTTTCCCCATCATTGCTCCCCCACTCCAGCCACTGCTCGAATCACGCCTCCTCTATGCAACCAGGCCCTTCCCTTCTCTTACATCCGAGTCATCCGCACCCCTCTCCATCCTTCCCAACCTTTTCCAGGGAATGCCTGTCTCACCTTCTCTTATGCTGCTCCGACCATCCCCCTTTCTCCATGCCACACCCCGTTGCAGTGGCCATCCCTGCCTCTCTGCAACCACTACTCGAGTCACATCTCCTCACTGCCATCAGAGCCCTCCCTGCACTGTCTCCTGTAGACCCGGACTCTCTTAAAGCTGCTCCGAAGCAATCAGGGGCTGTGGCAGCGGCTGTAGATGCGCATACGGCAGGAGGACGGTTCATTGCAGGAGCAGTGCCAATGCTGGATGACAGGGTGCATGGAAGTGCCCACCGGTCCTCTCTTGACAGTGCCCCCGTTGCTGCTGCGGCTGTTACTGCTGCTGTGCACGCCCTGGTTACAGGGGAGTTCCACATGACGGCTGCTCGCACTGTCCCCATCCGCTTCCACCAAATCGACTCCCTTCTCAGCCTGCTGCGTTTGCGACTCAAGCCTTTGAAACGGTAAGATACGAAGGTGATCCGTATGATGTCCTGCTGCTGTTGCTTTCTCCCTCTCTCCTTCCCTCTCTCCTCTTCCCACTCTTCCCACTCTTCCCACTCTTCCCACTCTCTTCGTAGCCAAGTGGACGACTGGACCCAACAAGATGACTCAATTCTTGCCCTCCCCCCTCTCGTCTCGTTCCTGTCCCTTTCCCTCCATGGCACCAGCTTCCACTTGCATTTGGACAAGTGGACAGCATTTGTCAACGATGAGAAGACTCGATCCTTCCTCGCCCTTGAAGGCACACGGGAGGGAGTGCCGGAGGTAATAAGTGATTAGTTTTCTTATAAGTGCGATGGTGGACTCAGTATCCATGCTGTGAACCGGAGTGCAAGGAAGTCGTTTGTTCTTTTCTTGCCTTTGAAGCTGCACGGGAGGGAGTGCCTGAGGTAAGCTTGAGATAAGAATAATTCTGTGTGGACTCAGTATCCATGCTGTGAATTGGAAAACAGATTCACACGAGAAAACGGTTTGCTCTTTCCTTGCCCTTGAAGCTGCACGTGAGGGAGAGCCTGACGTAAGATCGAATCTCCTGTTTTGGCCCTGGCTCTTCTTTAATTCTGCTATGCAGCACTCGTCGTTACCATGCACTTTTAAGACTCGTGAAAACTAGACCATTCTTTGCCTCTGCTGATCATCGCACCTCATTCCGCCACAAGAACAGTCAGTTTGCATCAACCCCTCTTCCCTCTCCCACCGCTGTCCTGCCTGCGTGATCCCAGCTTATCTCTTACAGTGCCCCAAACCAATGTAACCCGAACTGTTTTCTGTTTTGTGGTACAACACTCCCCGTTTTCCACCTTATTCCCAACACCACCTCTTTCCTTCCGCCCACCACTGCTCTGTCTGCTCGCTCCCAGTTCACCTCTCTGGTTGTGTATCGACCAGGCATATGCCGTTCACGGCCTTCCTCCACACGATTCTCAACGTCCTCTCTTCTGTCTCCCCCTTGCAACTGCCCTGCCTGCTTGCCCTCAGTTCACCTCTCTGGTTCAGTGTATCGACCAGGCATATGCCGTTCATGGCCTTCCTCCATACTACGATGTATGTTTCTATTCCCTGCGCTTCCTTCTTATTCCGTACTATGAATTAAAGAATTCTCATCCTTGCATACTGCTGCTCCTTCGCGCATCCCCATTATCCACCATCTACATCCCTCCATTTACCTCTCTCCCACACCCCTTCTCACTTTCCATAGCCCCTCCCCCCCCGGTTCGAATGTTGCTGTCATGCACACCTGTGGTTAAAAAACCCTATGCTTATACTCACACTCCCAAACTTAACACGTCCATGTGCCCATATGTCGATTTCAGAACCCACGCCCACACGTCTCCCTGCTTTGGGTTGCTGGTAACCACCTTGACCAGTTACTCTCCATCGCACAAAATTTACAGATGTCTGCTTCGGCAAGCTTGTGTGGTGGTGGTCTTCCTCTTTGCCTAAGAGTGAATGTAAGCAAGGTGGTTTGTAGAGTTGGGCAGAAAGTACATACAGTATGGGAGGACAATCGTAGATCATTGTTGTAGAGATGAAGACATCAGGTTAATACATTCTGGGTATTCCACCAATATTGATTATTCTAGATCGTTTAAAAGCATAGTCGCATTCAAATACAGAGGCTGTCTATGCGAAATTTCTTGGTTTCGGGTAGGCCTCTAATGTGCCGTTTTCTTCCCCGCAAGGATACAGTAGCCCTGTGCTCATAGAAAGGAGATTCTGCCTTCCGCACCGCGATTGCGCTGATCAACTTCGCCGTCCCGATCCCATGTGGCGCCCTCTGATTCGCGCCGCCAGGCTTCGCCCTGCCGCGGCGCGAGCTGACGGCAGAGTCAACGATGCCCGGCTAGCATCCCTGGCCGGCAGTTTCCTCCTGCCGGACGTCGAGAAACTAACGGACAGCCATTATGGTTGTTATGATAGGAGCGAGTCCGGAGGGCGAGCTTCGGTTGAAGAGAGGTTGCCGGAATATCTGAAGATTCTAAGTCCGGCTTTAATGCCATACAGCGGGTCGCTTCCACTGTCTTCTAGCTCTCGCTTCGATTCGCGGTCGATTAGGACTCAGATTTGTCGTAATTCAGAGATTCTAGGATCCCCACAGGAACGCGTGGCGGTTGCTGATTGGTCGAGGCAATTCAATACAGGCACGCCTAAGGCGAGCTCGAAGGTCGGCGGCTCGGGCGCGAAGGGATCGGCGCAAGCGGGGAAGAAGGAAGCGGAGAATGCAGGAGATGCGGAGGCGGGGGAAAGTGACGTCATTTTGACGTCAGTTCACCCTAAGGATCTTTTGGACCTGAAAGAAAACACCCTTTTTGAGCTTAGGTAAGCATTGATAAGCTTACGAATAGGTTACTTTCACCGTGTTTGAGCTGAAGTAAGCGCTAACACCCTGTTGGATCTTAGATAAGCGTTTAGCACCCTGCTGCCTGTTTTGGCTTGTATGGTCAAACACACTTACACAATCACTTTTCGTCACATACCCTCACGCGCCCTCACTCGCCCTCGTTACAGTGAGAACCATTCGCAGCAGTATTTACCCGAGGGCCTCCCTCTCTATTCCCACTCACGCACAGTCTCGCTCTCCCACTCACTCCCACACTCACTCTCACTCCTTCAAGCATTCCCTCACACTCACCCTCACTCGCCCTCTTTATAGTGAGGAGCATTTGAAGCAGTACTTACCCGAGGGCCTACCTCTCGCATTTCCAGTCACTCACTCACTCACACTCTCTCTCACATTTCCTCACTCCCGCCCTCACTCACTCTCTCTACAGTGAGAAGCATTTGCAGCAATACTTACCTGAGGGCCTCCCTCCCGCATTCCCACTCACTCACACTCTCGCATTCCGATTCACTCATACGCCCTCACCCACACTCCCTACATTCTCTCACACTCAATCTTATACACTTTACAGCGAGGAGCATTTGCAGCAGTACTTACCCGAGGGTCTCCCTCCTTCAATAGAAAAAGAGTTTGAGGCCTCAAAGTCCCGTGCCATTCTTCTTCGGGCAGCCACAAAAGATTTCATTCACAAGCTTCAAGCTGCCCGAGATCACCAGTCCAGTTCATCAGACGCAAGTCCCGTGGAACCTTCCAACAGCCCTGAAGGGCAGATTAAAAATTCCTCTCCTGGCTCGTTTCTGCTCCGAGGCCATCCGGGCAGCGGGAAATCTTGTCTCCTGCTGACCGCTGTGCTCTGGGCCCGTGCAAACGGGTGGTTGGTTTTTTATGTGCCCAAGGCGAGAGAATGGACTAATAACGGAGTGTACTATAAGCATCCTGAGACTGTGGGGGAGGAGGGGGGACAGGAGGGAGGGAGTGTGGTGGGGGATGGAGGAGAGGGGAGGGTGGCAGTTGGAGGGAGAAGAAAGGCGATTTGGGATACCCCCATACAAGCACAAGCAACACTCAAGGTGAGATGATGGTTATTCTATTTTTTTCTACATTTACTTGATGATGATTTGAGTGGCATTGAGTAAGTGGATCATTGTTGAGTTAACCAGATGCAACTCTGCAAGCCAGGCATTGTTATTCTTTTCCTTTTTTTTCTCCCCCTTACCACCACCCTGCCACAGTCATTTCTTGCAGCCCACCAGGAGATTCTGTCCTCTCTGCCCATTCAGCTGCCCGAACTTATCACTCTGGGAGAGGGGCCAGGCATCGGTTTGGCTCGGGGCAGCCAGATCGTATCGCCGGGCTCTGATTGGTCGCTGGGAGATCTCGTGAAATATGGAGCGGACCACTCACACGCTGCCACGAGTGTTGTGGTTCGGTTGAGAGAGGAGCTGGGAAGGGTGACTTCTGTTCCTACCATGATTGCTGTTGATGAGGTGAGATGAGGGAGGGGAGAACGGGGAGGGAGAGTGGAGAGGGAAAGTGGGGAGGGAGAGAAGGGTGTTAGATGGTGAGGAGGGACACTATCAATCACCAGTTCGGCCGAGGGAGGAGCTGGAAAGAGTGACTTCTGTTCCCACTGTGATTGCTGTGGATGAGGTGAGGGAGTGGGGGAGATTGTGGGGAGGGAGAGAAGGGGTGAAGATTGTGGGAACACTATCACCTGTCGTATGATTCGGCTAATGTAGGAGCTGGGAAGAGTGACTTCCGTTCCCATTGTGATAGCTGTGGATGAGGTGAGGGAGGTGGAGTGGAGAGGGGAGAGGGAAGAGGGGTGAGGAGTCTGTGATTGTTTGCAAATGAACGTTGTTTTAAATCCGCCTGAATTGACTTTTGAGTCGACTCAAAAGTTAGCTGTGGATGAAGTGAGGGAGAGGGAGATGGAGTGGAGAGGGGAGAGGGAAGAGGGTTGAGGAGTCTGTGATTGTTTCCAAATGAACGTTGTTTTAAATCCGCCTGAAATTGCATGTGTGCTGTCACTTCATGGGCGCACCCTGTTTCCCGCAATCTCCTGCCTTCTTTCCCCTTTCGCATGTGTGTGTGCGCCTGCAGTTCAACGCGTGGTTCACATTTGCAGGGTTCTTCGAGTCTACAGGAGACAGAAGTCGGAGGCAGATCCATGCCGGGGAGATGCGCATGGTGGGTGGGGGGTGGGGGGTGGGGGGTGGGTGGTGCAGGGGTTAAAGCTTTCCTGATAAAAAACTTTGGCTGTGCCATAGAGCTTTTCCTAAATCCCGTTTTCCTGTGCTTTTGAGTTGACTCAAAAGAAGACTTTGGCTGTGCCGTACAACTTCTCCAAAGGAATCATTTTTCCCTGCACTCCTACCTACCCTCATCCACCATTCCGCTGTTCCCCTCATTTCATGTGAACGCCATCCGTTTATTGCAAGCCAGTGACATCATCACAGCTGCGTCCACTTAACAGGTCCGTCGCAGTGCTGCCAGTGGTGCTGCATTAGTCAGATTGTAAAAACGTGTTTTTCTTATGCCCCAAACCTCATATACTCCTTATGCCCCAAACCTCATATACTCCTTAAGCCCCAAACCTCATATACTCCTCCTTCATCCACCCCTATCTCATTCTGTCAGGTGAACGCCTTTCGCTCTTTAGAAGCCACTGGCATCATTGCAGCTGCATTTTCCGAGTCCATAGCAGTGGGGAGGCTGCCTGCTGTGCTGCCGGGGATGCCTAAGGGCGTGCGGCTGAACGTGCCACGCTTCACTGTTGATGAGACGCTTGCTCTGCTGCAGCACTACCAGAAGAGGTGCGTCCGGGTTGTGCCTGTAGGCTTCTTTGGAGCTGCCTTTTTTTCACTGAGGCAACTCAATACAGGTCCCTGCTGTGCTGTTGGGGGTGCCTAAGGGCGTGCGGCTCACTGTGCCATGCTTCTCTGTTACGCGTTCCCCTCCCCTGTGTGTGCGTGTGAGTCTGACTGCTAACTGCTTGTTCTTAACTGTATGTCGAATTTAACTATACAGATGGCCTTCTTGGGCTGTTGTCATACCGTGATTCCCTCTCCCTGACTGAACGTCCCCACCCACCACCCACACTCCCTCCTGCCTTCCAAAACACCTCCTGTCTCTGCGTACCCTGTGCTCATCGCTGCAGCTGCAAGCTGGGGCGTGTGACGGATGACGAGGAGGCTATTAAAGAGGCTGCTGTGCGTGCATGCATGGTTACAGGGGGAAATGCAGCGCAGCTTAGAAACGTTGCACATTTTCTGTGATTCTGTGTGCGCGGTGTTTGGATACCTTTTGGTACCAATGCATATAAGGGTGATGGTTCACTTCATTGGCTTGATGTGGCTTGCATATTTGTCTGACTGATTTTTTGGAGTACGTTGAAAGAGGCAACGCAGCCTCACCTGATAACGCATGCGTTGTAGACATCCTGTTTGATTCACAGTTGGGGATGTGAAGTTCCTTTTCCTTCATAACATATGCATGTTGAAGCTACACGAGTGACAATCTCTGAGCGCGTCCAAGAAGTATCGCGGACTTCTGTAGTGATGAAACAGAAAGCAAACCGGGAGCAAAGCAGGTCGCCGAAGTAACAATTTTCCCAATCAAGGGCACGGTTTTGTTCGGTTTGTTTCGTTCGAAGGCGGTAATCTGCAAAACCAAGTTGAACTAGGAGACAACAGCACCACCGCACCGAGGTTATGAAGTCCAGAAAAGGTAGCAGCTACAGACCTGAAAGACTGGGAACACCAAGCACTGCAGCATAGGAGGTTCTGGGAGTGGTAGGAGTAGTGAGGTGAGGCAGACTACGCCTGTCCGTGGTAGGTGGCTGTTAAGTTACTGAGACGTGGCTGAGTATTTTTTTTAGGCGACCGTGTCAAGTGGTTGTGTTAAGGGGCTGATTGCCTGTTAAGTGACTGTTAGGTGAGAGCGCACAGACTCAGAGCCAGCTTCTGCTTAGAAACAAGCGGCATTCTCCTCGTTTCTGTTTTTCTAGTCGACTTGTTTAATTTATTGACTAGTTAGAAGAATGTCGACCTTGAAATGGAACCTAACTCCGCTTACGGACCCAACTGTTGCTGCATCGTGGAAAGACGGCGACACGACGAAACCGCGATCGAAGATCATTCACCTGGTTCGTTCTAACCCTAATGACGTTTTTCATGCTTCGTCCGTAGTCAGTCGATGCCTCCTCCTGATCTTTATGCACGCTACATTCTCCCGTCCTGAAAAAGCAATGTCTGGTCTCAGCCAGTTAATTTTTTGGAAATCACCATCGAGACTTAAATAGTTTCGTTTCCAGCCGTGAAAGAGCACGCCTTCTTTGAGTAATTTTTGAAGTTTCGAAGTCCAGAAAACAACCTACTTATCGTGCCGTAAAACGCACCCCCTTCTGGGCGCGTTCAGTTCCCCCCTTGTCGTGCTTTAAGAGCTTTTGTGGCTTCAAGAGCTCGTCTCACCGACATTGTGCAAAGTCATCATCTTTCCACTTATATTGGTGAGAAGGTGTGTGAGACCATCTTTCCACCGACACTGTGTCGGTGAGACGAGCCCTTTGAAAAGATGAGCACTTATATTGGTCCTGTTACCTGCTCATCTTTTCAAAACATCCTTTTGCTAACGCCCTTGCTGTGGTCAGATTCGTCACGGACAGGCAGTGCACAATTTGGTGATGGACACGGAGCAGTATAAGCTCGAAAAGTTTCTCGACTGCCCGCTCAGCACCCAAGGATTTGAGCAGGTCAGGTGCTGCAATGCAGCTCTGCTTCTTTCTTCCTTTTTTTTTTAATGCAAATTTTCTCCACAACTTCCAATATCTGATTTCGTTGTCTCACTTTGCACTCGCTTCAAGGCTGCCACTTGTTCCAATCACACCACAGGTAGCAGAGCTGCGCAGGCAAGTAGCAGCCAACCCTCCTCCAGGCTTTCCTGCTGACCTGATAGTCGTCTCCCCCCTGCTGCGGTAAGTCGACTCTCGTCCTCTCACTGCCGTCCCCCCTGCTGTAGTAAGTAAGCACTTGTCCTCTCACTGTTCCTTTCCCCCGGTGCAATAAGTTAACACTCGTCTTCCTCACCGTTCCGTTGTTCCCCTAAGACGCATAAAAGAACAGCCCTTTTTCACGTTTATTCATAGCACGCCTCCCCTTCCTCCCTCTTCTGTCCCCAGCACACTGCAAACAGCAGTGGGCGCCTTTGGCCCTCCTAACACGGCAATTCCAGTCGACCTTCCCCCAAAAGACGCAGCTTCCAAGAACCTTCCCGTTGTGGACGGGTGCACAGCAGGAACCAATGGGGTGGAAGCTGTTGTCCCTGCGACTGTTGTGACGGCTCCTGTGACAACCGAAGGCGGTTACCAGGTTACCACCACGCTGCCAGCACACATCCTGGCCAACGAGCTTTGCAGAGAAACGCTGGTGAGTTCAGCTGAGTTGAGTGATCGGAGGTTAGTGACTGTAACGAGTGCAGGCTAATGAGTGCTGCAAAGTGATGCGGAGTGGGGTTCCGTGAGTGCGGCGTGCTGCATGAGGGGGAATGGGTGCACAGGGAAGAGCATGTGCATGTTCATGATATAAGTGACCAAGCGTTGGCCAACCAGAGAAAAGCATGCGTGCACATGTGCTTGTCCATGCCCCTTTCCAACCCCCCTATTCCCTTTCCATTCCTCCAGGGTTTTCCATATCTCTTGTTCCTTTCCACCCCTGCCTTTCCTTTCCCTTCCTCCAGGTGTCCATCATCCCTCCAGGCATGAACCTGCCACCCCTCTGTTCTCTCTCCCTTCCCTTCTTCCTGATTTTTTATAGTGCATCCTTGTGTCCACCTGTCATGCCTCCCTCTCCACAGCACGTGCATGTGTGCGACAAACGCCGCCCAATCAGAGAGAAGAAGGGCCTCTTCCCCTCTGTGGACTTCAGTCAGGTGCGGTGCAGGCTGTGTTCTAGGCGCAGTGCGGTGTGAAGCTGTGCGGTGCGGTGCTGCATGGAACCGGCAGTGTGTGGTGTTGTGCTAGCCTGTTCCTTTGTGCTGTTCTGGGCAATGGCATGGATATGCAAGGAATCAACGCCCGCTTGAATTGTCAAAACAATGATGTACTTGTCGTATGCATGTGTGTGTGCCACACCACACCACACCCCACCACACCTCACCTCTACACCACACTACACTACACCTACACCACACTGCACCGCACTGCAGATCACGGATGACGAGGACGCGCTGTGGAAGGTGGAGCCCAGGGAGACTCGTGAGGAGATTGCGCAACGAGCCACTAATCTCGCTGCATGGTGAGATTCTCTGACTTCCCAGTTGCAGGGTGCTTTTGAGAATTCTCAAAAAACAACTCTCAAGGAGATTGTGCAACGAGCTACTGGTCTTGCCGCATGGTGTGCTTGTCTGTTTTCCGAGACCTTGCAACCTTCACTTGTAGTATGCTGGCAACAACAAGGGGCACTCAATATCGCTGGTCACCGTCTTTCTCAAGCTGGTGATCGTCACGCTGCTTGCAAACTAGGTTCAACAAGACGTCTCAGAACATCTGCTGCTGATTACGTCCCAGCCCAGGTCACATCGTCTCTCACACTCACTATTTCCTGCTCCCCCCACGCTTACATACCTCCATCTCTATCCTTCCCTGTCTTTCCTGCCCATTGTTACCCCCCCTCTTCCTTCTCCGGCTCTCTCACTCCCTCCTCCCCTTCAACAGGCTGCTCGGACTGAAGGAGCAATCCATAGCAGTTGTCTCTCACAGTGGGTTCCTCCATGCCTTCGCCACAGTTGGCCTGCCCGCACATCTACGGCCCGAGAACAAGCTCGTCTAGTGAGTGCACCTGTTCCCCAACCCCTATTCCTCATCTGCTACCCCAGTAATTCCTCATGTTTCTGAGGCATGTGAAAGTTTGCAGATCATCATGGGTCTGTTTCTCTCCTTCCCATCACTTCCCTGCCAAAAATACCGTACTCTCCCATGCCCTCTCTGTGCTCTCAGTTTTGAGAACTGCCGGCTACGCTCGTACATCCTCTCAGCAGAAGACTGACTTCCTTTTGTGACTGACCAACAGTAGTATCACATCTAATGTGTCAAAAGGATAGCTTGAATACTGCTGCACACCCTTCGTTTTAACCGATCTTGCAGTAGAAGGTTTTGTAGCTATCGCTGTGAAATCAAGCTGCAGTTAGTCTTAAAGCTCTAGGCCCAAATTGCGCAAGATTACTAATCTTGCGTGCTGAGGGATGGGTTTGGGTTCGGGAGTGTTGGGAAGGTGACCTCTCTGATTTCGCCCATAACACTGGGTTTTTTCGCTGAGTCAGCGAGCTTCAGGGGGAAACTTGAGTTTGGGGACCTCGAGTCCCAAATTGCATAGTAGTAAAACTCGATGTTTTGGCAGTGAGTTTTCTTTCGACCAATCAGATTGCATCGCACCTACTGTAACCAAATTTTCGCCACACACCAGCACAGAAAACGAGAAGTGTGCAAGATTACTAATCTTGCCCTGCGCGGCCCGCAATTTGGGCCTTGAGCTTTAAAATCAGCGGGCCAAGAAAGCCCAAATTGGTTCAACTTTCATAACTTCGGTTGAGTTGAGTGCGACCTTGGCACCCAAAACCTTGGCCAATTGCATTGCCCACGGTTTTTTAAACGAAGTTCTGGTGACGCCCTGTTACCATGTAATACAAGCTGAAAGGGTGAAAAGAATGACTAGTTACAGTACAGCGGCAGATACAAAATGCACTCAAGGAAAATAGTCACGCCAGTTGTTGTAGTAAGATTCTCTCACTTCCTTGGACATCATTTTGTTCCACTGCACAACAGAACCACAGGAAACACATTCCCATGTGAAATATTGGTACCAAGCAAAGAGTATGGCAAACACGGTGAAAAGAAGTATGGAGCACACCGGCTGCAACAGATTTGACTCGAGGCATTCATTACAGGTAAAACTTCCCGGAGGCAATACGGAAGCGTATTATAAACACGCACCTTAGGCTCATAAGGCTTTCTCTGCCGGCACGCCTTCTTAAATTGATGGTTCTCGTGAATGTACGCCATGTCATGCCAGCTGCAGGGATCGCAAAGGAAGAGAATGGGGAGAGGGGGGGGGGATTGGTGGTGGTGGGGATAGGGGGGGGAGGTAGCAGCTGAAGGATGGACCGATACTCTGACAATCAGCTGAAGCTGAGATGCATCGTTAGTTTCCTGACTCACCATCAGCGAGACCAGCAATACAATGAACATGCCAATTCGCACTGGTTGTAACATTTCCATTGATACATTATGCCAAGGCTCATATTCCAGTGTCATGCTCGGCTGTAGAAGACAGTATGCACCTTCCACCTCAAACCCAGTGCAATGATTTGTGTTCCGACGTCTGGTGCCCGTGATACAGGTCGGTTATCGAGGCGGACGGACTCGACAAACTTACTTGTGCTCCGTTGAGTGCTGCCAGTAGTATGGATCGGCTACCGAGTAGAGCGAAAACCCGACGGCTCCCCAGAAAATGCCGGAGAAAATATCTTTATCAGTGTGAGGCACGCCAGGATCGCCGGTATACGCGGGTCCGAAAATCTTATCCATCCTGGATTCTGAAGCTTGCTGCTAGACCAGGAACGACGTGCCCGCAAACTGAGGGGTTCAGCTTACAGTCGGGAGCAACACTACCAAAGAAGCAAAAAGCTGCAATGGTAAGACTAGGGGAACGGACCAATCGGAGGTCTAGTTTCCAGTAACTAAAACCAGACCAGCTTAGGCTAAAATCGATTCTCACAGCAATTCGTTTCTGGGCCGAAACATGAGTGGGAAAATCGAGTTTAATATGGTTCAGAGCGGCAGTGTACACAGTAGTTCGTTTTTGTACGGTTTCAATGGGATAACTGGCATGGATGAGAGGTCTGTGAAATGGATGTGACGGATTGCGAAATGCTCTGTGAAATGAACAGCGGGGATGTGGAAAGCTGATGGTTTTTGGGATTGCCCTAGAGTGTTGACGTGGCAATGACACGTCAAAACCCTTGAGGATGGTGTACTTGATACGGGATTATTCGATTGGCTTTACTGAACCAGCACACCACCTCGATATTTGTTCGGCTTGATGTGATAATGAAAAGGCTTCAGCGCAGATCGGCAAAAGCTCGGGCTTGGTTTTCTTGGCCCACACTAGGCAGCAAGCATAAATAACGCAGACACTCTCGAGATTTCTCCAATGCAGTTTGCTTGCGAGGAATAGGTCCTAGAGTCCGTAGAGTGTTGCTTACGTCATAGAAAACATTGGCCAACCTAAGGGGGGGTCACTGTGAAGTGAGTCCAGCTGAAGAGTACCGTTTTAGCTGATCAAGTCGGAGAGTAATCACGACAAAGGAATTGCATAACGCGCTGCCTAAATGACGACGCTGCGAGTCATACGAGTAGACTTTTTAGAACGCTCCTGACTCCATTCAATATAGCTCTTTTCGCTGCTCGCCTCTCGCAGCGATCGTTGAGGACGAGGGAACACCCACATTGTGATCGAGGGAGAGAGATCAGCTTCAGTACTGAGCAGCTTTTTGAGTCGACACAAAACTCGCCTCTCGCAGCGATCGTTGAGGACAAGGGAACACCCACATTGTAATCAAGGGAGAGAGATCTGCTTCAGTACTGAGCAGCTTGAAAGATACGGTATCAGATGTCGAAGTGCATACGATCCCGGTAGTGGATTTAGAAGCCTAAACTGGCCAGGCAACCTCAACGTTCGTTTTGTGTCGTGGCAAAGTAACCGCTAAGAGTATAACGCGACGTTCATGTGTTTCGTGAACCGCTCTTGAACGCCATCCTGGCTTCTCGTCGTTCACTTCAGGGATTCCCTTTCGAATCGTTAACAACAGCTTGGAACAGCTAGGAACCCAGTTTTTACTTCGTGAAATCTAGCCGATATGGCCTCTCCCATGCCACCATTTGCACAAGCGCCGGGAGCCGCGTCAGCAGCGGTGACGGCGCCGGCAGGTTCCGCTGGTTCAGCCGGCGGGCCTGTAGACCACTACCCGCAGCCGTTAGCGACGCACGAGGCGATTCTGGGGGACCGAGTGCTGTTCCTTGACTTGCTCGCACGGTTTCACAACCAGATGGGAGGGTCGCTGAGGTGAGAACGATACTGAATAATACTGCTGGCGGGTCCTGGGGGGGGGGGGGGCAAGGGGGGTAGTTGGGTGGGGGGGATCGCGTGCTGTTTCTTGACTTGCTCGCGCGGTTTCACAACCAAATGGGAGGGTCGCTGAGGTGAGTCCCAGGACGTCTCATATCTGGATTCGGCGAATGCTTGCTGGAAACGTCTCAATGCGCGACCATTGGGGGATCGCGTGCTGTTTCTTGACTTGCTCGCACGGTTTCACAACCAGATGGGAGGGTCGCTGAGGTGAGAGAGGTACTGGGTGATACTGCTGTTCCTTGATTTGGTTAACGCAGGCAGGTACAGGGGGAAGATCGCGTGCTGTTCCTTGACATGCTCGCGCGGTTTCACAACCAGATGGGAGGGTCGTTGAGGTGTGTTCCGGGACGTGACAAACTCGATTCTCTCCGGTATTCATGACTCGAAGCGGCGTTTGAAACGTCTACGGATTTCTCCCTCTTCCTATCGCTTCTCCCTGCAGGATCCCACAGATGGGAGGGAGGGAGCTGGACCTGCACCTGCTGTACCGTGAAGTCACAGGCCGAGGGGGCTTGATGCAGGTGAGGAGGGGTGAGGACTGGTAGAGGTGTTGTTAATCGTGGTGATACTTAAAATCTGGCCTGCACCTGGTGTACCGTGAAGTGACGGGCTGAGGGGGATTGATGCTGGTGAAAACTGGTGCAGGCGAGATTTGATGCAGGTGAAATTCGATGCAGGTGGAAAGTGTTGCAAGTTTAGTACTCATGCACGCTGATAGGAAGATGTGCAGCGCATGCATAGTATGGGATTAGAGGAGTTAGTTTATTTTTGAGTCGACTCAAAAACATGTGCAGTGCATGCATAGTATGGGATTAGAGGAGTTAGTTTTGAGGCGCCTCAAAGATGTGCAGCGCATGCATAGTATGGGATTAGAGGAGTGTTTTGAGACGTCTCAAAACACTCTTTTTTTCTCATGCACGCTGATAGGAAGAAGATGTGCAGCGCATGCATAGTATGGGATTAGAGGAGTTAGTTTTGCGCCTTGAAGCAGGTGAGGACAAGTGCGGGTGAGAAGAGAAGAAGAGTTAATGGAGCAAATGATTTCATTGTAATCGCTGCCACCCACCTCCTCCCGTTCCCCTTGTTGCCCCTTACAGGTGATAGCGGATCGCAAGTGGAGGGACGTGACGATCCCCTTTGACTTCCCCCCTACCACCACCAGCGCCTCCTACGTCCTCCGAAAGTTCTACATCAACCTATTGCACCACTTCGAGCAGACCTACTTCTTCAACCGCCAGGGACCCCTCGTTCCCCCCCCTCGTGAGTAGATCCGCCACTCTCCTTTTGTGGTGCCCCATAAGCTACAACACATCCTCCTCTCCCACGAGTTCTACATCAACCTGCTGCACCACTTCGAGCAGGCTTACTTCTTCAACCGCCAAGGGCCCCTTGTGCCCCCACCGCGTAAGTTCCCCTTTCCCCCCACCAACCCCGATAAAGCCACCACCCCAGTTGCTGCGATTTTTACATCAACCTGCTGCACCACTTTGAACAGGCCTACTTCTTCAACCGCCAAGGACCCCTGGTGCCCCCCCCTCGTGAGTAGATCCCTCACTCTCCATCTGTGGTGTCCCATAAGCTACAACGCATCCTCCTCTCCCACGAGTTTTACATCAACCTGCTGCACCACTTCGAGCAGGCTTACTTCTTCAACCGCCAAGGACCCCTCGTGCCCCCTTCTGGTGAGTAGATTCGTCACCCTCCATCTGTGGTGCCCCCTCCTCGTGAGTGCTTTCGTCCCCTAGTTCTTCATCGAATCATTACCCTCTTCGCCTCTCCCCCTTGTGCTTATCTATCAACATCTCTGCTCGCCGTGTGTGCATGCAGCTCTCACCCACTTCCCTCGCAAACGCGGGGCACGCAGGATGCAAGGCTTTGAAGCGCCTCCCCGTGAGTACCCCCCCTTCCCCCCCCCCCCCCCGCCACCCCCCCCCCCTCCTACCTTGTCAATACCTTCCTCTTGCAAGTACCTTCGCCTTCACCAAACTCTGATAAGTTGCAGCTCCATTCCCCCCTTCTACTGCACACATACGGTGCCCCCTTTCACCGTCCCCGCTCTTTCCGTTTCCCTTTCACCTTCCACACCAGCACCACACCACAAGTGACCAACACAGGCCGCAACATCTCAGGCATCGTCTGCCCCATTCTTTCCCCTCTGTTGCCCTTTTCCCTGTGCCACCCTGTCCCCACAACCCCACCACAGCGCCCCAGCTGGCGAACATAGGTCGCAACATCTCAGGCATCATCCGCTCCAAGTGTGACAACGGCTACTTCATTACCGTGCCCATGGGCGACCAGGTGTGTATGGCCTCCTGCTTCTCTTGTACCATGAATGGCCCATGACTGACTAGGTGTGACCCACAGTGCCATGGGCGGCCGGGTGTGCCAATGGGCGGCTGGGTGTGCCCATGGGCGGCCGGGTGTGCCCATGGGCGGCCGGGTGTGCCCATGGGCGGCCGGGTGTGCCCATGGGCGGCCGGGTGTGCCCATGGGCGGCCGGGTGCGCCCATGGGCGGCCGGGTGTGCCCATGGGTGGCCGGGTGCGCCCCTCTGTCTCACCAGGTGTGCTCATAGAATCCACCCACCCTTTACCAGACCTCCAACCCTTTGCCTCTTCTATATGGAAATCACTTTTGAGAATTCTCAAAAGTGATTTCCAACCCTTTGCCTCTTCCTCAAAACCCCCCCACCCAGTCCCACTCTCCTTACCCTTCCCCGCTCCCAATTCGCCCTCCTCCCCTCTCCCCTCCTTCCCTTTTCTCAACGGTACCGCCCACTCACTTTTCTCTACCATCCACCCACCACCGCCTCCTCCTCCCCGTTCGCCCCTCCCCAGCCCGTCTCCTTCCTCCTCAACGCCTTCGCCTTCGACTCAGCCCTCATCCGCTCGCAAATGCAAGTGCAGACAGGGAGTGAGTTGCCGTCCTTTTCAGTCGACTCAACAAAACACACCGCCGCGTCTTTCCCGCTGCCCTCCCTTCGCCACTTTTCCCCCTCTTCTGGCAGGTGCTGCATGGGATTCTGTACCATCCACCCACCACCGCCTCCTCTTCCCCGTTCGCCCCTCCCCAGCCCGTCTCCTTCCTCCTCAACGCATTCTCCCTCGACTCAGCCCTCATCCGCTCGCAAATGCAAGTGCAGACAGGGAGTGAGTTGCCGTCCTTTTCAGTCGACTTAACAAAAGACACCGCCGCGTCTTTCCCGCTGCCCTCCCTTCGCCACTTTTCCCCCTCTTCTGGCAGGTGCTGCATGGGATTCTGTACCATCCACCCACCACCGCCTCCTCCTCCCCGTTCGCCCCTCCCCAGCCCGTCTCCTTCCTCCTCAACGCATTCTCCCTCGACTCAGCCCTCATCCGCTCGCAAATGCAAGTGCAGACAGGGAGTGAGTTGCCGTCCTTTTTAGTCGACTTAACAAAACACACCGCCGCGTCTTTCCCGCTGCCCTCCCTTCGCCACTTTTCCCCCTCTTCTGGCAGGTGCTGCATGGGATTCTGTACCATCCACCCACCACCGCCTCCTCCTCCCCGTTCGCCCCTCCCCAGCCCGTCTCCTTCCTCCTCAACGCATTCTCCCTCGACTCAGCCCTCATCCGCTCGCAAATGCAAGTGCAGACAGGGAGTGAGTTGCCGTCCTTTTCAGTCGACTTAACAAAACACACCTCCGCGTCTTTCCCGCTGCCCTCCCTTCGCCACTTTTCCCCCTCTTCTGGCAGGTGCTGCATGGGATTCTGTACCATCCACCCACCACCTCCTCCTCCTCCCCGTTCGCCCCTCCCCAGCCCGTCTCCTTCCTCCTCAACGCATTCTCCCTCGACTCAGCCCTCATCCGCTCGCAAATGCAAGTGCAGACAGGGAGTGAGTTGCCGTCCTTTTCAGTCGACTCAACAAAACACATTGCCGCGTCTTTCCCGCTGCCCTCCCTTCGCCACTTTTCCCCCTCTTCTGGCAGGTGCTGCACGGGATTCTGTACCATCCACCCACCACCGCCTCCTCCTCCCCGTTCGCCCCTCCCCAGCCCGTCTCCTTCCTCCTCAACGCCTTCTCCCTCGACTCGGCCCTCATCCGCTCGCAAATGCACGGCCGGCGCCGGCGGAGGAAGAGGCGGAGACGGGCCGAGCTCCTGGCTGCAGCAGCGGGGGGATTGCCGGGGGTGGTGGTGCCTCCGAAGCAGAACCGCACGGGGTACAACTTCTTCTTTGGGGAGCAGAGGATGAAGCTCAAGGCAGACATGCCCGACGTGCCGGATCGTGAGATCAGCCGGCTGATCGGCCAGCGATGGATGGCCCTTTCTCCTCAAGACAGGATCGTGAGTCATCCACTCTTTTCCTCCCTCTCTTGCTCTCTTTGGGGAGCAGAGGATGAAGCTCAAGGCAGAGCAGACATGCCCGACGTGCCGAATCGTGAGATCAGCCGCCTCATCGGCCAGCAATGGATGGCGCTTTCCCCTCAAGACCGCATTGTGAGCGCCCCTCTTTCCTCCTCCCTTGCTCGCATCTTGCTCTCCCTCCCTCTCTCCCTCTTTCTTTCCCTCTCTCCCTCTTTCTTTCCCTCTCTCCCTCTTTCTTTCCCTCTCTCCCTCTTTCTTTCCCTCTCTCCCTCTTTCTTTCCCTCTCTCCCTCTTTCTTTCCCTCTCTCCCTCTTTCTTTCCCTCTCTCCCTCTTTCTTTCCCTCTCTCCCTCTTTCTTTCCCTCTCTCCCTCTTTCTTTCCCTCTCTCCCGCTCTCTCATTGGCCAGCGATGGATGGCGCTCTCGCCACAAAACAGGATTGTGAGTGCTTGTCTTTCTTGCTCTCTCCCTCTCTCGCTCGCTTCTCCTCTCTCCCTCTTTCTATCCCTCTCTCCCGCTCTCTCATCCGCCAGCGATGGGTGGTGCTCTCGCCTCAAGACATGATCGTAAGTTCTCTTTCCTCCTTCCCCTCTCCATCTCTCTCCCTCTCTTCCTCTCTTGCTCCCCTCCCCACTTTCTCCCACCTCTCATCCTCCCCATTTGTTCCCCCAGCAATATCAGGAGCAAGCAGAGCGGGACAGGGAGCGGTATGCTGCAATTACCACCCTGAAAAAGACACCCCTTTCTTCCCCCCCGCTCCTCTCCGCCCCTCTCTGCCCCTCTCTGCTCCTCTCTCCCCTTTTCGTCCCCCAGCCCAGCCATACCAGGAGCAGGTAGAGCGGGTCCGGGAGCGGTATGTGGCAGAGATGAGGGAATGCAACGAAAGAGGTTTTTGCACCCTCCTCAAACACACTCCCGCACCCCCCATATCATTCCCCCAGCCATACCAGGAGCAGGCGGAGAGAGACAGGGAGCGGTATGTGGCAGAGATGAGGGAATACAACGAGAGGCGCACACAAGCAGGTGTGGGAGCAGCAGGAGGAGATGAGGGATTAGGGGTAGTGGGAGCAGGAGCGGGCGGAAGGGGAGGGGGTAGGGGAGCGGGAGGAGAGGGTGTGGGGGCAGTGGGAAGCGGGGGGATGGGGGGAAGATTTAGAGATCTGGGGCAGTATATGGCGGATGTTGATAGGGTGATGGGGGGAGGGGGGTTCCGGCGGGGGGGAATGGGGGGAGGCGGGGGGAGGGGAGGATTAGCAGGTGCAGGGTTTCAAGGAGAGATGGAGGAGGAGGAAGAGGAGGAGGACGAGGAGGAAATGGAGGGTGATGAGTATGAGGAGGGATATGAGGAGGAGGAAGGGGAGGGAGAGGAGGGGTATGAGGATGAAGAGGAGGAGGAAGGAGAGGGGGAGGAAGATGATGGGATGGAATTCGGGGGGATGACTGGGCATGCAGGTTTGCTGGTAGGAGCTGACGTGGATACACGTGTGCAAGTCGGGGTGCATACCTCTGAACCCCGCAGCACCGCAGTGGCTGCTGTGCCTGGGAGTGGCTCTAAGCCTAGCAGCAACCCTCCTGGGCCCTCTCGGCCTTTTGTTGAAGTCAAACCCGCAGCTACAACCAGCGCAGCCCCTGCTGCTCCTGCTGCTGCTGCTCCTATTGCTGCTTCTGCCGCTCCTCCTGCTTCTTCTGCTGCTCCTGCTGCTGCAGCCCCTGCTACTGCTGCTGCTACTGCCCCTGCTGCTCCTTCTGCTGCTTCTGCTCCTGCTGCTGCTGCCCCTGCTCCTGTTGCTGCTTCTGTCGCTCCTCCTGCTTCTTCTGCTACCGCTGCTGCTCCTGGTGCTGCTGCCCCTGCTACTGCTCCTGCTGCTGCTTCTTCCACTCCTGCTCCTGCTCCTGCTCCTGCTCCTGCTCCTGCTCCTGCTCCTGCTCCTGCCCCTGCTCCTGCTCCTGCTCCTGCTCCTGTTCCTGCTGCTGCTACTATTCCTGCTCCTGTTCCTGCTGCTGCTACGACTCCTGCTCCTGCTAATGAGGGAGAAGATACTCAGATGGATGAGGCAAGTCCACAAAAGGAAGCAAAGGCACCAGTGGAAGGAGATGGAAGTGTGGCAGCAGCTGAGGAAGCAGGAGCAGCAGGAGCAGATGTGTCAGCGAGAACAGCAGCAGGAGAAAAAGAAACAGCAGCAGGAACAGAAGCAGGGACAGCAGAAACAGCTGCAGCAGCGGAAGCAGGAGGTGTTGCAAGTGGAGGGGGTGCAGGTATAGAGGGAGCAGGCGATGACTCTGCCATATCTGCTGCTGGTGGTGCTTCATCTTCTGCTGTCACTGCTGTTGGTGATGCTGCTGCAGCTAGTGCTGATGGTGACGCTGCTACTGCTGATGGTGCTGGTGGTGATGTTGCCGTAACTGGTGCAACTGCTGATGGTGATGGTGTAGGTGATGGTGCTGCTGCTCCTGGTGATGCTGCTGGAATTGGAGTAGGCATGGACGTGGATGCACCTCATGCTGGTTCTGCTGATGCCACCACTCTTACTGCTGGTGCTGCTGCTGGTGGTGCTGCTGGTGCTGCTGGTGCTGCTGGTGCTCCTGCTGGTGGTACTGCTGTTACTTCTGGTGGTGATGGTGCTGCTGTGAGTGGTGGCGGCATGGATGTGGATGCACCTGGTGCTTTGATAACTGAAGGAGCTGCTCTGGATACATCTGCTGCTCAGGCACCTGAAGCAGAGGCACCTGAAGCAGGGTTACCTAAAGCAGAGGCAGAGGCAGCTGAGCCTCCTGGTGGTGGGGACCCTGCACCTGCTGATGGGGATCCTAGTGCTCCGAAGGACCAAGAGGAAGGGAAGGCTAGTTAAAGCCGGCAGCCCAAATTGTTCATGCTTGTAAAAGATGACCAGAGGGAGTTTTTCTGGTGTGGGCTTTGGCAAGAGTTTCCAATTTCGTCTAGGTTCGTTTTTTTCGCGAGACTCAGCCAACCCTCGTTTTTCCCCCTAGTGAGTGGGTTTATCTTTGCAAGTCCCAAATTGCATGTGCGTGACTTTCAGAAGCTTGGACACTCCACTTCGTCAAGTTTTAAAGACTTGACCCTCGCGCTCCGCAATCTGGGACGCGGGTTTTAAGGGACTCAAACGGAGTGAGGAGGTGTTAATTCTCAAGTGCGGTAGGTGAGTATCGGAGGTCTTCGGAGTTAGAGCAAGTGGAACTGGAAATCGGAGGCAGCACACAGATTAATGGAAGCCAAGAGCCGATTTGAGATCAATCGTAGGCGCATGAAGGTTGAGCAGGTTAGCAGCTGGGGGGGAAGGTGGGTGGGGTGGGGGTACAAGATTGGCAGAAGTTACTGGGTGTTGTGCCACAATTATGCCAAAGCTCTTTGCTTGTTCGTTTTTGTTTTCCATTGGAAGTTTTGATGCCGTTTCATTCACATTCAAAGGTGTGCATACAACATGCAATCGCCACTATGCACTGCATCGTAGCCACCGCCAAACCATTCTGACACACAATCTTCGTGTCGGACAGGAACACGAGATTGAGTTGATAGAGTAGAACTACTGATAGAACACAATTGTGAGATCAAGTGAATATGCGAGCCTCTAATTTGTGAGACACTACACTCAGCACAGGAATTATGACCAGTTTCTCAGCCCAGCAATTTGACCGCTCAAATAATTGTACCCAGGTACAGTAATACCCAACAACAGAAACACCGTTTCCGGAACGCGTGCAGCGGCATCGCGGCTCGAGTGGCGGACCAGAAACTATTTCCCGCTTATTTTCACCCGCACTCCCTCTTCATTCCGCTCCCCTTCCCCCTATGCCTCCATCGCTTCCGCTCACGCATCATATCCCCTCCCCGCACTCCCCCCGCAGTACCTTTCACCCGCACCGCAGTCATTTTTCCGCTCTCCTCCGCTTCCTCACTCCCCCATCCAGTGCTTCTTGAGCAGAGTGGCGGACACACCAGCCTCCCCAATTCGCCTTGGTTCTCGGGTGCATCGTTGGAATTCGAAGATGCGAGGCCAAACAGGATTCGGGCAAGCCGCAGAGTTCTAGAATGCAAATCAACCGCTTTGTTCAACTAGGTATCGTACCAAACCGTCCTGTCACTCGAAGCTCACATTAATAATTTTTTTTGTTTGTGATCACCAGAATGTCCCTCCGACCCTCCACTCCCCTGACTACCAGGGTGTCTCATTTCTCTCTCTTATTTCAGTAAGCAGATTTCATGGCGCACGAACGTAAGCCGCAGCTGCATCGGTGGCCCTCGGGCGGAAGCAGGGGACGATGCGATTGCGGCGCATCTACAATCCGCCAATTATTATCATCACTAGGACGTGTATCAAGTCATGTACAGGCAAGGTGGTGGTCCCATGTGGTTAATCAGGGGCTTGACGGTAGCAACAGCAACCTGCTAACTCGACCTAGAACTCGTAACCATCCGCCTTCGTGCTTGTTCGGTTTCTTGTCAAAAGTCAAAGTACCAAGCCGCGCTCTTACGCCTTTTGTATAATTGAAGTACTTCACAAGTTTTCCGAGGCGCATCGGAATTCGTTGCGTTACTTATTCGCCTTTTTTGCCGACAGTTTGTCGACACCCCCAGTCGCTTCGATTGAAAGCGCATCGACGGTCGAAAACCGTTTTAAGATGGAGTAGCAAAGTCACTGGTAGGAAACAACATCGCTTGCTGGTTCTCCGCGCCGCGTCCCTCCGCTCGCTCTGACTCCCCGCGCCGCGTCCGTCGCCGAGTCCCTCCGCTCGCTGATTCTCCCCGCTCGCGTCAAATCTTCACCTTTGGGTTTCGTGTAACTCGAATTCTTGTCACGGGCCAATCTCTTTTGAGTCTCGTCTGAATCGACTCACAGTCACCTGGTTTCGGGAAAATTCATCCCCAACCCCGGTAGCATGGGGGAAACACGATGTCGAATTCACCTCGGCGCGGATGCCGCGAATGCCGCGAATGCCGCGAATGCTGTGGGTGCCGCGAATGCCGTGGGTGCCGCGAATGCCGCGAATGCCGCGAATGCCGCGAATGCCGTGGGTGCCGCGAATGCCGTGAATGCCGTCTCATGGCCGCACCCGAATTCCGAGAAGGCCAGCGTCGAGATTGACCGCCGAAGCCGCAATCCCATCATGGGGGGAACACGGCGTGGGATTCACCATGGAACACGGCGTGGGATTCACCAAGGCGCGAATGCCGTGAATGCCGTCTCATGGCCGCACCCGAACCCCGAGAAGGCCAACGTCGAATTTGTCCGCCAGAGCCGCCCCATTCGGCGCAATAAAAGCGTCACCGCCGCGGTTACAACAACCGCTGCTACAGCCGCGGATACAGCCACTGCTGTTAGCGGCGGCGGCGGCGGTGGTGGCGGAACTATGTGTCGCAGTCGACGCGGCGCTTGTGGCGCAATTCTCGCCGCGCTTCTCCTTCTCGCCGTCGGCTCGCGCTCGTGCGAAGGAGCAACAGACCCGAATCAAGGTAAGAGCAGTGGTTTGTTTGTAGCAACAACAGTGGCAGTGGCCATGGCAGCGGCAGCAGCAGCAGCGGCAGTGGCAGCAGCAGCGGCTCTTTCATTCGACTCAACAGTCGGACGCGCGTGAGGACCCCTGTGGGGCCAGCAGCAGTAAAAAGTCGTGATGGCTTTTGAATCGACTCAAAAGCAGGGTTTTGTAGCAGTGGCGGCGGCAGCGGCAGTGGCTCTTTCAGTCGACTCAACAGTCGGACACGGCGCGGCGCATAAGGGCCCCTGCGGGACCAGCAGCGGTGGAACCCCCCCGCCCGGGAGTGCTGTGCGGTGGAGCGTCATGCCTGGGAGTGCAGTACGATAGAGAGCCCCCGCCTGGGAGTGCTGTGCGGTGGAGCGTCGTGCCCAGGAAAATGACTGCTGTGCTTATCTGTGCCTCACCTCCCGCTCCCCCTGCTCCCCTTCTCCCTGCTCCCTGCTCCCTGTTCCATGTTCCCTGCTTTCTGCTCCCCGTTCCCCCCTGTTCCCTTGCTCCCTTTATCCCGCCCCCCCTCCCCTCCCACGCCCATCAGTCGCCATGGCCACATAGCAGAGCCACTTGACGCCGGGAATCCCTCCCCCACTGGCTGCGCGGGCATTGACCCCCGTGGGTGGCGCAGTGGACACACCAGTGCGGGGAGTGCTGCGTCCTCCTGCGTCTCACTCCCCACCCACTCACCCCTGCTTCCTCCTCTCCCGCTTCCCCCCCACCAGTCGCCATTTGAGACGTCTCAAAACTCACCCCTGCTTCCTCCTCTCCCGCTTCCCCCCCACCAGTCGCCATCCTCACCAACATCGCTCAGTCTCTCGGAGCAGGCACCTCCTATTTCAGAACCTGGACGGGCAGCGACCCCTGTGGTTCCACCGGGGGGGCGGTGTGGGCGGGAGTGGGGTGTTCGCCTGGCAGCAACTCTACTGTCGTCTCGTCGCTGTGAGAGAACGACGCCACTGCGCTTTGGGCGCCGTGCCGTTGCATTGTGATTGCCATTGCGCTGCCATTGCCGACTGCAATGGGTGCTGTGCTGCTGCGCTGTGAGGTGTCAAAAAGCGCCCATACCTCTGTGCTGTGAGTGCTGATGTGTCGTGAGTGCGGTTTTGCTGTGATTGCTGATGTGGCGTGAGTGCTGATGTGCTGTGAGTGCCGCTGTGCTGGACTGCGGGTTTCAACCACCTTGTAACGAGGTGAGGAGTCCTCCCAACCCCTCTCAACCATTCCCAACCCTTCTCTCCCTTCTTTCTTTTCCACCCCTCCCTCCTCCTCTCCAGAAATGAGCAGCAAGTGGTGCTTTGGAAGGATATTTCAAGTGAAGTCGCTCCTCCTGCTAACCTTGTAACTGTTCACTGTATCACCCCTCCTGTTCACTGTATCACCCCTCCTGTTCACTGTATCACCCCTCCTGTTCACTCACCCCTTCTGTTCACTGTATCACCCCTCCTGTTCACTGTATCACCCCTCTGTTCACTGTATCACCCCTCCTGTTCACTGTATCACCCCTCCTGTTCACTGTATCACCCCTCCTGTTCACTGTATCACCCCTCCTGTTCACTGTATCACCCCTCCTGTTCACTGTATCACCCCTCCTGTTCACTGTATCACCCCTCCTGTTCACTGTATCACCCCTCCTGTTCACTGTATCACCCCTTCTGTTCACTGTATCACCCCTCCTGTTCACTGTATCACCCCTCCTGTTCACTGTATCACCCCTCCTGTTCACTGTATCACCCCTTCTGTTCACTGTATCACCCCTCCTGTTCACTGTATCACCCCTCCTGTTCACTGTATCACCCCTCCTGTTCACTGTATCACCCCTCCTGTTCACTGTATCACCCCTTCTGTTCACTGTATCACCCCTCCTGTTCACTGTATCACCCCCCTGTTCACTGTATCACCCCTTCTGTTCACTGTATCACCCCTCTGTTCACTGTATCACCCCTCCTGTTCACTGTATCACCCCTCCTGTTCACTGTATCACCCCTCCTGTTCACTGTATCACCCCTCCTGTTCACTGTATCACCCCTCCTGTTCACTGTATCACCCCTCCTGTTCACTGTATCACCCCTCCTGTTCACTGTATCACCCCTCCTGTTCACTGTATCACCCCTCCTGTTCACTGTATCACCCCTCCTGTTCACTGTATCACCCCTCCTGTTCACTGTATCACCCCTCCTGTTCACTGTATCACCCCTCCTGTTCACTGTATCACCCCTCCTGTTCACTGTATCACCCCTCCTGTTCACTGTATCACCCCTCCTGTTCACTGTATCACCCCTCCTGTTCACTGTATCACCCCTCCTGTTCACTGTATCACCCCTCCTGTTCACTGTATCACCCCTCCTGTTCACTGTATCACCCCTCCTGTTCACTGTATCACCCCTCCTGTTCACTGTATCACCCCTCCTGTTCACTGTATCACCCCTCCTGTTCACTGTATCACCCCTCCTGTTCACTGTATCACCCCTCCTGTTCACTGTATCACCCCTCCTGTTCACTGTATCACCCCTCCTGTTCACTGTATCACCCCTCCTGTTCACTGTATCACCCCTCCTGTTCACTGTATCACCCCTCCTGTTCACTGTATCACCCCTCCTGTTCACTGTATCACCCCTCCTGTTCACTGTATCACCCCTCCTGTTCACTGTATCACCCCTCCTGTTCACTGTATCACCCCTCCTGTTCACTGTATCACCCCTCCTGTTCACTGTATCACCCCTCCTGTTCACTGTATCACCCCTCCTGTTCACTGTATCACCCCTTCTGTTCACTGTATCACCCCTCCTGTTCACTGTATCACCCCTCCTGTTCACTGTATCACCCCTCCTGTTCACTGTATCACCCCTCCTGTTCACTGTATCACCCCTCCTGTTCACTGTATCACCCCTCCTGTTCACTGTATCACCCCTCCTGTTCACTGTATCACCCCTCCTGTTCACTGTATCACCCCTCCTGTTCACTGTATCACCCCTCCTGTTCACTGTATCACCCCTCCTGTTCACTGTATCACCCCTCCTGTTCACTGTATCACCCCTTCTGTTCACTGTATCACCCCTCCTGTTCACTGTATCACCCCTTCTGTTCACTGTATCACCCCTCCTGTTCACTGTATCACCCCTCCTGTTCACTGTATCACCCCTCCTGTTCACTGTATCACCCCTCCTGTTCACTGTATCACCCCTCCTGTTCACTGTATCACCCCTCATGTTCACTGTATCACCCCTCCTGTTCACTGTATCACCCCTCCTGTTCACTGTATCACCCCTCCTGTTCACTGTATCACCCCTCCTGTTCACTGTATCACCCCTCCTGTTCACTGTATCACCCCTCCTGTTCACTGTATCACCCCTCCTGTTCACTGTATCACCCCTCCTGTTCACTGTATCACCCCTCCTGTTCACTGTATCACCCCTCCTGTTCACTGTATCACCCCTCCTGTTCACTGTATCACCCCTTCTGTTCACTGTATCACCCCTCCTGTTCACTGTATCACCCCTCCTGTTCACTGTATCACCCCTCCTGTTCACTGTATCACCCCTCCTGTTCACTGTATCACCCCTCCTGTTCACTGTATCACCCCTCCTGTTCACTGTATCACCCCTCCTGTTCACTGTATCACCCCTCCTGTTCACTGTATCACCCCTCCTGTTCACTGTATCACCCCTCCTGTTCACTGTATCACCCCTCCTGTTCACTGTATCACCCCTCCTGTTCACTGTATCACCCCTCCTGTTCACTGTATCACCCCTCCTGTTCACTGTATCACCCCTTCTGTTCACTGTATCACCCCTCCTGTTCACTGTATCACCCCTCCTGTTCACCGTATCACCCCTCCTGTTCACTGTATCACCCCTCCTGTTCACTGTATCACCCCTTCTGTTCACTGTATCACCCCTCCTGTTCACCGTATCACCCCTCCTGTTCACTGTATCACCCCTCCTGTTCACTGTATCACCCCTTCTGTTCACCTTGGCGGCGTTCCATCAACACCTCCTCCCCCAGCGTTCTGCAGCAAGGTGATGCAACAAGTGGGGCTTTCGGGCACCCTTCATGGAAATCACTTTTGAGAATTCTCAGTGTTCAACCTCACGCCTCCTGTTCCTCCCCCCAGCGTTCTGCAGCAAGTGGGGATTTCAGGCACCCTGTGACCAGAAGCCTTTTCAACCCCTCTTAACCCTTTCCAACTCCTCTCTCCTCCCCCTTTCCCCAGCATTCTGCAGCAAGTAGGGCTTTCGGGCACCCTTCCTTCGTCAGTGTTCAACCTCACTACACTTACTCTGCTGTAAGTATCCTCAATATAAGCATAATCAATCGGAATAACTATCCTCAATACAAGCTTTCTCGAAGAACTCACCATCTCATGATCATGTAGCCTTGCCCTACAGTAACGTCCATTTGTGCCCCTGTGAAATGCATCTCCTTTCCCCTCTCCCCGTCATACATCTCCTTTTCCCTCTTCATCAGTTTCTAGCTCACACTGCTGCGTCTGTGCATTACCCTGTGATTCATCCCCTCTCCCTGCATCATCCCCTTCTCAACCACACCGCTCCAAACATCTCTGCAATACATACGTCCCTCCTTCCATTATCCCGATTTTTTTTCCCTTCTCGTCCCACACTGCTCCATGCAAGCAATACCCTGTAACGTCCACTCTAGTCATGCCCCCCCTAAACCCCACTCGCCCCTGGTTTTTGAGAATTCTCAAAAACCCCCCTAAACCCCACTCGCCCCTGGTTTTTGAGAATTCTCAAAAACCCCCCTAAACCCCACTCGCCCCCTGGTTTTTGAGAATTCTCAAAAACCCCCCTAAACCCCACTCGCCCCCTGGTTTTTGAGAATTCTCAAAAACCCCCCTAAACCCAACTCGCCCCCTGGTTTTTGAGAATTCTCAAAAACCCCCCTAAACCCCACTCGCCCCCTGGTTTTTGAGAATTCTCAAAAACCCCCCTAAACCCCACTCGCCCCCTGGTTTTTGAGAATTCTCAAAAACCCCCCTAAACCCCACTCGCCCCCTGGTTTTTGAGAATTCTCAAAAACCCCCCTAAACCCCACTCGCCCCCTGGTTTTTGAGAATTCTCAAAAACCCCCCTAAACCCCACTCGCCCCCTGGTTTTGAGAATTCTCAAAAACCCCCCTAAACCCCACTCGCCCCCTGGTTTTTGAGAATTCTCAAAAACCCCCCTAAACCCCACTCGCCCCCTGGTTTTTGAGAATTCTCAAAAACCCCCCTAAACCCCACTCGCCCCCTGGTTTTTGAGAATTCTCAAAAACCCCCCTAAACCCCACTCGCCCCCTGGTTTTTGAGAATTCTCAAAAACCCCCCTAAACCCCACTCGCCCCCTGGTTTTTGAGAATTCTCAAAAACCCCCCTAAACCCCACTCGCCCCCTGGTTTTTGAGAATTCTCAAAAACCCCCCTAAACCCCACGCGCCCCCTGGTTTTTGAGAATTCTCAAAAACCCCCCTAAACCCCACGCGCCCCCTGGTTTTTGAGAATTCTCAAAAACCCCCCTAAACCCCACTCGCCCCCTGGTTTTTGAGAATTCTCAAAAACCCCCCTAAACCCCACTCGCCCCCCCCTATGGAGAATTCTCCGAGTCGGCGCGTTGTTGCTATGGAGAATTCTCCGAGTCGGCGCGTTGTTGCTATGGAGAATTCTCCGAGTCGGGGCGTGGTTGCTATGGAGAATTCTCCGAGTCGGCGCGTTGTTGCTATGGAGAATTCTCCGAGTCGGCGTCGTTGCTATGGAGAATTCTCCGAGTCGGCGCGTTGTTGCTATCGAGAATTCTCCGAGTCGGCGTTGTTGCTATGGAGAATTCTCCGAGTCGGCGCGTTGTTGCTATCGAGAATTCTCCGAGTCGGCGCTGTTGCTATCGAGAATGCTCCGAGTCGGCGCGCTGTTGCTATCGAGAATGCTCCGAGTCGGCGCGCTGTTGCTATCGAGAATGCTCCGAGTCGGCGCTGTTGCTATCGAGAATGCTCCGAGTCGGCGTTGTTGCTATCGAGAATGCTCCGAGTCGGCGTTGTTGCTATCGAGAATGCTCCGAGTCGGCGTTGTTGCTATCGAGAATGCTCCGAGTCGGCGTTGTTGCGATCGAGAATGCTCCGAGTCGGCGTTGTTGCGATCGAGAATGCTCCGAGTCGGCGTTGTTGCGATCGAGAATGCTCCGAGTCGGCGTTGTTGCGATCGAGAATGCTCCGAGTCGGCGTTGTTGCGATCGAGAATGCTCCGAGTCGGCGTTGTTGCGATCGAGAATGCTCCGAGTCGGCGTTGTTGCGATCGAGAATGCTCCGAGTCGGCGTTGTTGCGATCGAGAATGCTCCGAGTCGGCGTTGTTGCGATCGAGAATGCTCCGAGTCGGCGTTGTTGCGATCGAGAATGCTCCGAGTCGGCGTTGTTGCGATCGAGAATGCTCCGAGTCGGCGTTGTTGCGATCGAGAATGCTCCGAGTCGGCGTTGTTGCGATCGAGAATGCTCCGAGTCGGCGTTGTTGCGATCGAGAATGCTCCGAGTCGGCGTTGTTGCGATCGAGAATGCTCCGAGTCGGCGTTGTTGCGATCGAGAATGCTCCGAGTCGGCGTTGTTGCGATCGAGAATGCTCCGAGTCGGCGTTGTTGCGATCGAGAATGCTCCGAGTCGGCGTTGTTGCGATCGAGAATGCTCCGAGTCGGCGTTGTTGCGATCGAGAATGCTCCGAGTCGGCGTTGTTGCGATCGAGAATGCTCCGAGTCGGCGTTGTTGCGATCGAGAATTCTCCGAGTCGGCGTTGTTGCGATCGAGAATTCTCCGAGTCGGCGTTGTTGCGATCGAGAATGCTCCGAGTCGGCGTTGTTGCGATCGAGAATGCTCCGAGTCGGCGTTGTTGCGATCGAGAATGCTCCGAGTCGGCGTTGTTGCGATCGAGAATGCTCCGAGTCGGCGTTGTTGCGATCGAGAATGCTCCGAGTCGGCGTTGTTGCGATCGAGAATGCTCCGAGTCGGCGTTGTTGCGATCGAGAATGCTCCGAGTCGGCGTTGTTGCGATCGAGAATGCTCCGAGTCGGCGTTGTTGCGATCGAGAATGCTCCGAGTCGGCGTTGTTGCGATCGAGAATGCTCCGAGTCGGCGTTGTTGCGATCGAGAATGCTCCGAGTCGGCGTTGTTGCGATCGAGAATGCTCCGAGTCGGCGTTGTTGCGATCGAGAATGCTCCGAGTCGGCGTTGTTGCGATCGAGAATGCTCCGAGTCGGCGTTGTTGCGATCGAGAATGCTCCGAGTCGGCGTTGTTGCGATCGAGAATGCTCCGAGTCGGCGTTGTTGCGATCGAGAATGCTCCGAGTCGGCGTTGTTGCGATCGAGAATGCTCCGAGTCGGCGTTGTTGCGATCGAGAATGCTCCGAGTCGGCGTTGTTGCGATCGAGAATGCTCCGAGTCGGCGTTGTTGCGATCGAGAATGCTCCGAGTCGGCGTTGTTGCGATCGAGAATGCTCCGAGTCGGCGTTGTTGCGATCGAGAATGCTCCGAGTCGGCGTTGTTGCGATCGAGAATTCTCCGAGTCGGCGTTGTTGCGATCGAGAATTCTCCGAGTCGGCGTTGTTGCGATCGAGAATTCTCCGAGTCGGCGTTGTTGCGATCGAGAATTCTCCGAGTCGGCGTTGTTGCGATCGAGAATTCTCCGAGTCGGCGTTGTTGCGATCGAGAATTCTCCGAGTCGGCGTTGTTGCGATCGAGAATTCTCCGAGTCGGCGTTGTTGCGATCGAGAATTCTCCGAGTCGGCGTTGTTGCGATCGAGAATGCTCCGAGTCGGCGTTGTTGCGATCGAGAATGCTCCGAGTCGGCGTTGTTGCGATCGAGAATGCTCCGAGTCGGCGTTGTTGCGATCGAGAATGCTCCGAGTCGGCGTTGTTGCGATCGAGAATGCTCCGAGTCGGCGTTGTTGCGATCGAGAATGCTCCGAGTCGGCGTTGTTGCGATCGAGAATGCTCCGAGTCGGCGTTGTTGCGATCGAGAATTCTCCGAGTCGGCGTTGTTGCGATCGAGAATTCTCCGAGTCGGCGTTGTTGCGATCGAGAATTCTCCGAGTCGGCGTTGTTGCGATCGAGAATGCTCCGAGTCGGCGTTGTTGCGATCGAGAATGCTCCGAGTCGGCGTTGTTGCGATCGAGAATGCTCCGAGTCGGCGTTGTTGCGATCGAGAATGCTCCGAGTCGGCGTTGTTGCGATCGAGAATTCTCCGAGTCGGCGTTGTTGCGATCGAGAATTCTCCGAGTCGGCGTTGTTGCGATCGAGAATGCTCCGAGTCGGCGTTGTTGCGATCGAGAATGCTCCGAGTCGGCGTTGTTGCGATCGAGAATGCTCCGAGTCGGCGTTGTTGCGATCGAGAATGCTCCGAGTCGGCGTTGTTGCGATCGAGAATGCTCCGAGTCGGCGTTGTTGCGATCGAGAATGCTCCGAGTCGGCGTTGTTGCGATCGAGAATGCTCCGAGTCGGCGTTGTTGCGATCGAGAATGCTCCGAGTCGGCGTTGTTGCGATCGAGAATGCTCCGAGTCGGCGTTGTTGCGATCGAGAATGCTCCGAGTCGGCGTTGTTGCGATCGAGAATGCTCCGAGTCGGCGTTGTTGCGATCGAGAATGCTCCGAGTCGGCGTTGTTGCGATCGAGAATGCTCCGAGTCGGCGTTGTTGCGATCGAGAATTCTCCGAGTCGGCGTTGTTGCGATCGAGAATTCTCCGAGTCGGCGTTGTTGCGATCGAGAATGCTCCGAGTCGGCGTTGTTGCGATCGAGAATGCTCCGAGTCGGCGTTGTTGCGATCGAGAATGCTCCGAGTCGGCGTTGTTGCGATCGAGAATGCTCCGAGTCGGCGTTGTTGCGATCGAGAATGCTCCGAGTCGGCGTTGTTGCGATCGAGAATGCTCCGAGTCGGCGTTGTTGCGATCGAGAATGCTCCGAGTCGGCGTTGTTGCGATCGAGAATGCTCCGAGTCGGCGTTGTTGCGATCGAGAATTCTCCGAGTCGGCGTTGTTGCGATCGAGAATTCTCCGAGTCGGCGTTGTTGCGATCGAGAATGCTCCGAGTCGGCGTTGTTGCGATCGAGAATGCTCCGAGTCGGCGTTGTTGCGATCGAGAATGCTCCGAGTCGGCGTTGTTGCGATCGAGAATGCTCCGAGTCGGCGTTGTTGCGATCGAGAATGCTCCGAGTCGGCGTTGTTGCGATCGAGAATGCTCCGAGTCGGCGTTGTTGCGATCGAGAATGCTCCGAGTCGGCGTTGTTGCGATCGAGAATGCTCCGAGTCGGCGTTGTTGCGATCGAGAATGCTCCGAGTCGGCGTTGTTGCGATCGAGAATGCTCCGAGTCGGCGTTGTTGCGATCGAGAATGCTCCGAGTCGGCGTTGTTGCGATCGAGAATGCTCCGAGTCGGCGTTGTTGCGATCGAGAATGCTCCGAGTCGGCGTTGTTGCGATCGAGAATGCTCCGAGTCGGCGTTGTTGCGATCGAGAATTCTCCGAGTCGGCGTTGTTGCGATCGAGAATTCTCCGAGTCGGCGTTGTTGCGATCGAGAATTCTCCGAGTCGGCGTTGTTGCGATCGAGAATTCTCCGAGTCGGCGTTGTTGCGATCGAGAATTCTCCGAGTCGGCGTTGTTGCGATCGAGAATTCTCCGAGTCGGCGTTGTTGCGATCGAGAATTCTCCGAGTCGGCGTTGTTGCGATCGAGAATTCTCCGAGTCGGCGTTGTTGCGATCGAGAATTCTCCGAGTCGGCGTTGTTGCGATCGAGAATTCTCCGAGTCGGCGTTGTTGCGATCGAGAATTCTCCGAGTCGGCGTTGTTGCGATCGAGAATTCTCCGAGTCGGCGTTGTTGCGATTGAGAATTCTCCGAGTCGGCGTTGTTGCGATGGAGAATTCTCCGAGTCGGCGTTGTTGCGATGGAGAATTCTCCGAGTCGGCGTTGTTGCGATGGAGAATTCTCCGAGTCGGCGTAGTTGCGATGGAGAATTCTCCGAGTCGGCGTTGTTGTGATGGAGAATTCTTAAAAGCATACCAACCAGCTCTCAGGACCTTTTCCCACCGAGGTGAGTCCATGAGTACGCATGAGTCACTGATTGAGTGGCTGTGTGCCTGCGTCGCGTCGGATCAGCTCTCAGTCACTCCAGACGCCGCCATACTCCAGACACTGCCATACTCCAGACGCCAGTCACTACTAAGGCGCCCCGCCATACTACAGACGCTCCGTCTCAAACCAGCCAACCCGCAGGACATCTTTTTGAGAATTCTCAAATCTACCCACTGAGGTGGGTCCATGCCGATAAGTTGCTGTGTGACTTTTGTCTCGACTCAAAAAGTGTCGTGTGCCATTGTAACGAGGTGACTTTCCAGTCGACTCAAAAGTCAATCTGCCCGCTGAGGTGGGCCCAATGCAGAAAAGTTGCTGCTGTGTGTGTGCAGCGAGTCCAATCCGATCTGCTCTCAGTCACTACTGAGGCGCTGCAAAAGTCCAGATTTGCTCCATCGGAAGACCAACTAACCCACAGATGACAGGACATATGCCCACCGAGGTGAGAGTCATACGGGAAAAATACCCATGCGCATGAGTGGCTGTGTGTGCGAGTCGAGTCATATGAGCTCTCAATCAACAGTAACGACTTTTGAGACGTCTCAAAAGTGAGTCCATGCGCATGAGTGGCTGTGTGTGCGAGTCGAGTCATATGAGCTCTCAATCAACAGTAACGACTTTTGAGACGTCTCAAAAGTGAGTCCATGTGCATGAGTGGCTGTGTGTGGGAGTCGAGTCATATGAGCTCTCAATCAACAGTAACGACTTTTGAGACGTCTCAAAAGTGAGTCCATGCGCATGAGTGGCTGTGTGTGCGAGTCGAGTCATATGAGCTCTCAATCAGCAGTAACGACTTTTGAGACGTCTCAAAAGTGAGTCCATGCATCTATATTCCCTTCCCATCACCCTTTTCATCGCCTCTTTACCCGCAGATAAGAGCTCTCACAAACCTCACCTACTTTGACGTCACCAGCAACCAGCTAGACGGACCAGTGCCGGCCTGCCGGCCTGCCTTCAACCATGCAACTATTGATCACCCTTTGCATCATCCTTTTCATCTCCCTCCTCATCGCCTCACTCTCAGATATGCTCTCTCGCAAACCTCACCTACTTTGACGTCACCAGCAACCAGCTGGACGGGCTGGTGCCTGCCTTCGGCCCGAAAGTGATTCACCTGTGAGTGAGTGATGCTCTGCTTCTCCTCCTCCTTCCATACATCCTTCATGTTTTGAGACGTCTCAGCCGCCAGCTGGATAACCTTATCCCACCTTCGGCCCGAAAGTGATTCACCTGTGAGTGAGTGATGCTTCTCCTCCTCCCTCCGTACATCCTTCATGTTTACTTGGGCCATAGTGACAGGGCAGCTGTGTGTGATAACTAGGACGCTTAGGTCTCGAGTGGCACTTGTCCTTCATGTATCCTCCATGTTCTGCAGTGTTCATCACTTCCTCTCGCTGCACCTCATAGCACCTCACTGCACCTCATAGCACCTTCTTACCCCCTGCCCTCCTATCGCTCCTCCAACCACAGGCATCTGAGTAACAACTGCTTCACAGCTCTCTCCTGCCTGGGTATTTTTTCCTTTTCACTGACCTCTTCTCAACCACGCCTTCCCTCCTTTTCGTCCCCCCCCCTGCCTGCCCCCCTATCTCCCTACCACCTTCAGGCATAAGTAACAACAAGTTCACCAGTCTCTCTTCTTCCATTGGCTCGCTTAAGAAACTCATTCATCTGTATGTTAAGAGTTACATGCATCAATCTGTGCAACGAATATTGTAAATGAGCAGTATGGAAAGGCATGTACATAGAAATCAATGTTATATCTAACCTGAACCCCCTCGCATCTGTAGTTGACCGCTGTACTGTGATGTTTCTGCCTTTTGAGTCGACTATAAAATCGGCTCGTTTCTGAAGTTGAAAACTGTCCTGTAAAGTTTTTACTAAAGGGTGCCAAGCAAAATGCTCGAGACGCTATGAAACGTTAAGAATGGCTTTAGACTGAGAAATCTGGAGGTCGTGTTTCTGAAAACGTTGATGAAGGCCTTGCTTTTCCCTAAGAAAGTATTTCAGTCCCCCCCCCCTCCTTCCCCCGTCCTTAGAGACACTGTATCCGGTGGACAGCAACCAGTTCCCTTTCCTGAGAGACTCCCCTCTTTCTGTTCATTGACGCCCCCCCCCCCTCCCCAACTGCCACCAGCCTGGTGGACAACAACCGGCTGAACCACGACTTTCCAGCATGGATCAATAACTCCAGCAACCTCAAAATCCTGTAATGCTTATCCTGTCTTGGTGTGGTTGTGTTCTATGTTTCTTCTGTGTTTCTTCTGTGTTTGTTCTGTGTTTGTTCTGTGTTTGTTCTGTGTTTGTTCTGTGTTTTTTCTGTGTTTTGACCACCCCTTCCCAACATGGATTACTAGTTCCAGCAGCCTAATAGTCCTGTAATGCTTAGCCTTGGTTCTGCTTTTGGGTTTTGGAAGCACACCTTTCCAGCATGCATCGCTGGTTGCACCAGCATTGTGTGTGTGCGTGCGTGCTTGTGTGTGTGTGTGTGTGCGTGCCTGTGTGTGTGTGGGGGTGTGCTTGTGGGTGTGTGGTGGTACGTGTGTGTGTGTGTGAGTGTGTGTGGGGGGGGGGGCGTGTGTGTGTCGTTTTTTACTTTGTGTGTGTGTGTGTGCATGTGCGTGCGTGAGTGCATGCGTGGGTGCGTGTATGTGTGTTCAATTCTGTATGTATTTCTCATTTGTAACAAGTGTGTTACTGTTCCGCTTGTTTGCAATGGTCGTGCATGCTTTATTTTCCTTCCGCTCCTCCTCCTCCCTGTATTGTATCCCATCATGTATACATATATGCACACATGTACATACACAGATATATGCTTCACCACATATATGCACACATACATAGATATGTACTTCACAATATAGCAGGCAAAAACAACTGAAAAGCATACCTCTGCTCTGCTTCTCCTGCCCAATATACCCCTGTTTTTTGTTTTTTGTTTTTTTTTTCTCCACTGCTTCCCCTCCCGAGATAGTGACCTGAGCAACAACAAGTTAACAGGGAAAGTTCCTCCTCTCAACATGTCTCGTTTGGAGAGCCTGTGAGTGTAATTTGGTGACATTTTCCGTCGACTCAAAAGTCACTTTGATCTTAGCAACAACAAGATACTAGGCAAAATTCTTCCTCTCAACATATCTCATTTGGAGAGCCTGTGATGTGAGCGTGATTTTTCGAATATATCACAAGCCACTAAGTAACTCAAGGCCTGTGACTGTGCCGATAGACAAGTACATTGGGTTCTGAGACAAAACATCACTTGGGTTCCTATCTTCACCGCTCCCATCACCCCCTCCCACAACCCCTTGCACCTCCTCCCCTCGCTCGCAGTGTTTGAAGAAGTGTTTTGAGACGTCTCAAAACACTTCTTCATTCACCGCTCCCATCACCCCCTCCCACAACCCCTTGCACCTCCTCCCCTCGCTCGCATCACCCCTCATGCTCCGTCCAATCCCCACACCCCTTGCCTTCTCTTCCTGGCCGCCTCCTCTCTCCACTCGTCGCCCCCACCCACCCGCCACTCCCACCAAGATCTTTTTGAGAATTCTCAAAAACCGACTCCATGCTAACTACAACTCTCTCATCACCCTCACCCACCCTCACCCACCCTCACCCACCCTCATCCACCCGCTCCCACCAGGCTCCTCTGCTACAGCGCCTTGCTTTTGAGACAGCTGAAAGACAAATCTCCAACTCACCTCTCATCTCATGCACCCACTCCCCCATCAGGCCCTCATGAGGGCAACTCATGCTGCCCTCATGCTGCAACTGCAGCAAATTTCCACTTCACCCTCTGCCCCAGCTCCATAAACTCCTCATGGTTCCACTTCACACTTGGACCTGTGCTGTGCTTGCTGTGCTGTGCTGTGCCTCTGCAGATTTCCATAGACCTTCTGTCCTTCTCACTCCGGTTTGTGTGACTAACTGCACTGCACCGTACCCATTTCCCTATGCCCCACCCATTTCCCAACGCCCCACCCATTTCCCAACGCCCCACCCATTTCCCAACGCCCCACCCATTTCCCAACGCCCCACCCATTTCCCAACGCCCCACCCATTTCCCAACGCCCCACCCATTTCCCAACGCCCCACCCACCTGTATTCCCATCAGGATCCCCGACAACTGCAATTTGCCGCCCCAGGCTGACTCTGTTTGTTGAGAATCCTCAATAACCTTTCGGCCCTCTCTCTCTCTCTCTCCTCTTTGCGTGTGGCTGATCCACACCCATTGCCCAACGCCCCACCAATGCTCCATCAGAATCCTCTGCAACTGCAACTTGCCGCCCCAGGATCTGCCCTCTTTCGACTCCCTAACTTCCCTTGCTGACCTGTGCGTGTGTTCGTATCATGCCATGCCATGCCCATGCAATGCCCATGCAATGCCCATGCCATGCCCATGCCATGCCCATGCCATGCCATGCCATGCCATGCGGTGCTGTTCCATGCCATGCCCTGCTGTGCTATGCCCTGCTGTGCCATGAAATGCCATGCCGTGCTGTGCCATGCCATGCCATGCCATGCCATGCCATGCTGTGCAATGGTGTGGCCATGCCATACCATGTCATGCTTTGCATGCCATGGCATGGCATGACCCCTGTGTACTTACGTCATTTGAAACTGTCCTTCCATTTTTCTAGACCAGAAAAAGTTCTGCTCTTGTTTTCCCTCCCCACCATCCCCAACACCCCTTCCCAAATCTGCTAGTGCCATGAATTGAACGACACCCAATTCACACGCCCCATCCCCCCGTCCCTCTTCACTTCCCATTCGGATCTCTCGAGTCGACTCAAAGTCAGTCCTCCCCATCATAACCAACCCCCCTCCGTGAATCCTCTGCTGCAGGGAATTGAACAACAACCAATTCACAGGCCCCATCCCCCCCTCCCTCTTCACCTCCCATTCGAATCTCGTGACCATGTAAGCCATGATGTGTGCCCTGTCGTTGGTGTGCCCTGTCGTTAGTCAATCAAGCCTGTTGTTAGTCAATCAAGCCTGTCGTTAGTCAATCAAGCCTGTCGTTAGTCAATCAAGCCTGTCGTTAGTCAATCAAGCCTGTCGTTAGTCAATCAAGCCTGTCGTTAGTCAATCAAGCCTGTCGTTAGTCAATCAAGCCTGCCGTTAGTCAATCAAGCCTGTCGTTAGTCAATCAAGCCTGTCGTTAGTCAATCAAGCCTGCCGTTAGTCAATCAAGCCTGTCGTTAGTCAATCAAGCCTGTCGTTAGTCAATCAAGCCTGTCGTTAGTCAATCAAGCCTGTCGTTAGTCAATCAAGCCTGTCGTTAGTCAATCAAGCCTGTCGTTAGTCAATCAAGCCTGTCGTTAGTCAATCAAGCCTGTCGTTAGTCAATCAAGCCTGTCGTTAGTCAATCAAGCCTGTCGTTAGTCAATCAAGCCTGTCGTTAGTCAATCAAGCCTGTCGTTAGTCAATCAAGCCTGTCGTTAGTCAATCAAGCCTGTCGTTAGTCAATCAAGCCTGTCGTTAGTCAATCAAGCCTGTCGTTAGTCAATCAAGCCTGTCGTTAGTCAATCAAGCCTGCCGTTAGTCAATCAAGCCTGTCGTTAGTCAATCAAGCCTGTCGTTAGTCAATCAAGCCTGCCGTTAGTCAATCAAGCCTGTCGTTAGTCAATCAAGCCTGTCGTTAGTCAATCAAGCCTGTCGTTAGTCAATCAAGCCTGTCGTTAGTCAATCAAGCCTGTCGTTAGTCAATCAAGCCTGTCGTTAGTCAATCAAGCCTGTCGTTAGTCAATCAAGCCTGTCGTTAGTCAATCAAGCCTGTCGTTAGTCAATCAAGCCTGTCGTTAGTCAATCAAGCCTGTCGTTAGTCAATCAAGCCTGTCGTTAGTCAATCAAGCCTGTCGTTAGTCAATCAAGCCTGTCGTTAGTCAATCAAGCCTGTCGTTAGTCAATCAAGCCTGTCGTTAGTCAATCAAGCCTGTCGTTAGTCAATCAAGCCTGTTGTTAGTCAATCAAGCCTGTCGTTAGTCAATCAAGCCACCAAATACCCTTCACCTCCATGATGGCCCCCTTGTGATTTGAATCGGTCAATCTTTTCTCTCCCACCCCACTGTTCCTCCTCCCGACCCCCCCTTTCCCCACCATCCCTCCTTCAAACCCGCCCCCTTGCCAGCAGAAACCTTCCAACAACAATCTCACGGGGTCCATATCTCCCAGTGCAGGCAGCCCAACAGTCTCTCGGGGTATTTTGAGTTGACTCAAAAGTCATCATTACTAAACCCTAAACCCTGAACTCCCCTTGCCGGCAGAAATCTACAAAACAACAATCTCACGGGGACCATACCTCCTGATGCAGCCACCGCAAACTTGCCTAATCTCGCTACAATGTAAGGCCCACTTACATTCGTGTGACTTTTGAGAATTCTCAAAAGTCTAAGGCCCACTTACCCAAGAGTTAATTTTTTACAAGCTCTACTTCGTTATACCATTTACCGGGAGCAGCAGTAGTTCCTATAAACACTCAGCAGCCATCTCATCACATCACTCCTCTCATCACTCTCTCCTCTCATCACTCTCTCCTCTCATCACTCTCTCCTCTCATCACTCTCTCCTCTCATCACTCTCTCCTCTCATCACTCTCTCCTCTCATCACTCTCTCCTCTCATCACTCTCTCCTCTCATCACTCTCTCCTCTCATCACTCTCTCCTCTCATCACTCTCTCCTCTCATCACTCTCTCCTCTCATCACACTCTCCTCTCATCACTCTCTCCTCTCAACACTCTCTCCTCTCATCACTCTCTCCTCTCATCACTCTCTCCTCTCATCACACTCTCCTCACTCTCTCAACACTCTCTCCTCTCAACACTCTCTCCTCTCAACACTCTCTCCTCTCAACACTCTCTCCTCTCAACACTCTCTCCTCTCAACACTCTCTCCTCTCAACACTCTCTCCTCTCAACACTCTCTCCTCTCAACACTCTCTCCTCTCAACACTCTCTCCTCTCAACACTCTCTCCTCTCATCACTCTCTCCTCTCAACACTCTCTCCTCTCATCACTCTCTCCTCTCATCACTCTCTCCTCTCATCACTCTCTCCTCTCATCACACTCTCCTCTCATCACTCTCTCCTCTCAACACTCTCTCCTCTCATCACTCTCTCCTCTCATCACTCTCTCCTCTCATCACACTCTCCTCTCAACACTCTCTCCTCTCAACACTCTCTCCTCTCAACACTCTCTCCTCTCAACACTCTCTCCTCTCAACACTCTCTCCTCTCAACACTCTCTCCTCTCAACACTCTCTCCTCTCAACACTCTCTCCTCTCAACACTCTCTCCTCTCATCACTCTCTCCTCTCAACACTCTCTCCTCTCATCACCCGCTCCGCACAGATCCCTGTCTGGAAACAATCTGACAGGAAACATCCCCAACCTGCGGCGGCTCCCCGAATTGATGTTTCTCTCGCTCTACGACAACCACTTCACAAGTGCTGCAAGCGACCTCCTGGTTAACCCAACCAGCAATACCAAGGACAACCTCACGACCCAGTGAGTGGTTCTGCTTGTATAGGTGGGGGGCTTTTGATTTGAGGCAGCTCCCCGCAATGATGTTCCTCTCGCTCTCGGACAAACCATTTCACGCTTCTTTGCTCGCGGTTCTTCTTGTATCACTTCTTAGGCGCCTCAGAAGTCTTTTGAGGCGCCTCAAAAGCTTTTTCTCTATCACATCCACTTCACCAGTGCTACCATCGACCTTCTAACCAACAGAACCAACAACGAACTTAAGACACGGTGGCTGGTTGGTTCTACTTGTATCTCTTTTTTGAGAATTCTCAAAAACACCCTTCAGCATCGTGGCTGGTTGGTTCTACTTGTATCTCTTTTTTCAAATGTACAGGGAGGGGTGTTTAGTTGGTTTCTCAAGACCCCCACTGAGTGATTGAATCCACAGACCAAACTCGTCTGCACGTTTGATAATCCAACCACACAGCTTTGCTTCGCATTCTAACTCAACAACACTCATCCTTTCCCCTCTCCTAACCCTGTTCTCTCCCCGCCTCATCCAACCCATCTCTACCCCTCCCTCCTCTCCATTCATCCCTCTCCAGGCACTACGGATATCCCCTCTGTTCGCCCTACCACCCCAACCTCTTCACAGTCTGCTCCCCCCCAGTCGATTACCCTGCGTACAAATTCGACGAGTACTGCACAGCCCTGTCCTGCGACCCATCTCTACCCCTCTCCATCCCGCTCTCCACCCCTCTCCATCCTTCTCCACCCCTCTCCAGGCTCTATGGCAATCCCCTCTGCTCGCCCTACCAGCCCAATCTCTTCACCGTCTGCTCTCCCCCCATTGAGTTCCTCAAATACACCTTCCCTGAATACTGCCCGGACATTACCTGCAACGGCACCTTCTATGACCCCAGCTTCCCGCACTTTGCGCTTTCGAACCACGATTGCCAGTGTGTGACGACGCTGAGGGTGCAGCTGAGGATGCTGGCACCGCAGTACACCACTTACAATGACGACGTGGTGAAGAAGATCAAAGGATGGCTGCAGCGCAGCTTGCACATTCACGGCGTGTGGATGGAGTGGCAGCAGGTGCGTGCGTGTGTGCGTGCGTGCGTGCGTGGGTCGCTGCCTTTCTCTTGCCCCGCTCATCTTCTCTTCTCTTCCCCCCCTACACCCTGTGGAGCCACGAGTGCCTCTCTGTGGCAACCCTAGAGGTGCAGCTGCGGATGCTGGCACCGCACTACACCACTGCGGCGTGTGGATGGAGTGGCAGCAGGTGCGTGTGTGCGTGCGTGGGTGGGTGGGTGGGTAGGTGCGCGCGTGCGTGCGTGGGTGGGTGGGTGAAGTAAAACATTTGTGAATAACATTGTGGTTTCTGAGACGTCTTAAGAAAATAGAGGGATGGCTGCAACGCAGCTTGCATGTTCATGGCATGTGGATGAAGTGGCAGCTGGTGGGTGCGAGGGTGGGTGTGTGTGTGGGCGGGTGGGTGGATGGGTGGGTGGATGGATGGATGGGTGGATGGGCGGAGGGTGGGTGGGTTGCCTCTCTCTCCTCCTCTTGGCCTCATGCCTCCCTCCTTCCCCCCTTAATGGGTCATCCCCCCGTAATAGGTCATCCCCCCCTCAATAGGTCATCCCCCCCTCAATAGGTCATTCCCCCCTCAATAGGTCATCCCCCCCTCAATAGGTCATTCCCCCCCCTCAATAGGTCATCCCCCCCCTTAATAGGTCATTCCCCCCCCTCAATAGGTCATCCCCCCCCTTAATAGGTCATCCCCCCCTTAATAGGTCATCCCCCCTCAATAGGTCATCCCCCCCCCTTAATAGGTCATCCCCCCCCTTAATAGGTCATCCCCCCCCTTAATAGGTCATCCCCCCCCTTAATAGGTCATCCCCCCCCTTAATAGGTCATCCCCCCCCTTAATAGGTCATCCCCCCCCTTAATAGGTCATCCCCCCCCCCCCTAATAGGTCATCCCCCCCCCCCCTTAATAGGTCATCCCCCCCCTTAATAGGTCATCCCCCCCCCCCCTTAATAGGTCATCCCCCCCAATAGGTCATCCCCCCCTTAATAGGTCATCCCCCCCCTTAATAGGTCATCCCATCCCCCCCCCCCTTAATAGGTCATCCCCCCCCTTAATAGGTCATCCCCCCCTTAATAGGTCATCCCCCCCTTTATAGGTCATCCCCCCCCTTAATAGGTCATCCCCCCTCAATAGGTCATCCCCCCCCTTAATAGTCATCCCCCCCCTAATAGGTCATCCCCATCCCCCCCCCTTAATAGGTCATCCCCCCCTTAATAGGTCATCCCCCCCCTTAATAGGTCATCCCCCCCCCCCTTAATAGGTCATCCCCCCCCTTAATAGGTCATCCCCCCCCTTAATAGGTCATCCCCCCCCTTAATAGGTCATCCCCCCCAAATAGGTCATCCCCCCTTAATAGGTCATCCCCCCCCTTAATAGGTCATCCCCCCCCCCCTTAATAGGTCATCCCCCCCCTTAATAGGTCATCCCCCCCCTTAATAGGTCATCCCCCCCCTTAATAGGTCATCCCCCCCCTTAATAGGTCATCCCCCCCCTTAATAGGTCATCCCCCCCCTTAATAGGTCATCCCCCCCATCCCCCCCATAGGTCATCCCCCCCTTAATAGGTCATCCCCCCCCTTAATAGGTCATCCCCCCCCTTAATAGGTCATCCCCCCCCTTAATAGGTCATCCCCCATCCCCCCCCCTTAATAGGTCATCCCCCCCCCCCTTAATAATAGGTCATCCCCCCCCTTAATAGGTCATCCCCCCCCTTAATAGGTCATCCCCCCTCAATAGGTCATCCCCCCCCCCTTAATAGGTCATCCCCCCCCTAATAGGTCATCCCCCCCCTTAATAGGTCATCCCCCCCCCTTAATAGGTCATCCCCCCCCTTAATAGGTCATCCCCCCCTTAATAGGTCATCCCCCCCCTTATATAGGTCATCCCCCCCCTTAATAGGTCATCCCCCCCCTTAATAGGTCATCCCCCCCCTAATAGGTCATCCCCCCCTTAATAGGTCATCCCCCCCCCTTAATAGGTCATCCCCCCCCTTAATAGGTCATCCCCCCCCTTAATAGGTCATCCCCCCCCTAATAGGTCATCCCCCCCTTAATAGGTCATCCCCCCCCTTAATAGGTCATCCCCCCCCTTAATAGGTCATCCCCCCTCAATAGGTCATCCCCCCCCTTAATAGGTCATCCCCCCCTTAATAGGTCATCCCCCCCCTTAATAGGTCATCCCCCCCCTTAATAGGTCATCCCCCCCCCTTAATAGGTCATCCCCCCCCCTTAATAGGTCATCCCCCCCCTTAATAGGTCATCCCCCCCTTAATAGGTCATCCCCCCTCAATAGGTCATCCCCCCCCTTAATAGGTCATCCCCCCCCTTAATAGGTCATCCCCCCCCTTAATAGGTCATCCCCCCCCTTAATAGGTCATCCCCCCCCTTAATAGGTCATCCCCCCCCTTAATAGGTCATCCCCCCCCTTAATAGGTCATCCCCCCCCTTAATAGGTCATCCCCCCCCTTAATAGGTCATCCCCCTCTCTCCCCTCCTTTGTCTCCCCCCCCATCAGATCGTCATCAGCAGCATCGCGATCCCCATTGCCATGGACAGCCATGTCACCGTGACTCTCATCTTCCATCCCAATCTCCTCCCCGCCTCTCTCCTCTCCTCTCCCCTCCTTTGTCTCCCCCCCCATCAGATCGTCATCAGCAGCATCGCGATCCCCATTGCCATGGACAGCCATGTCACCGTGACTCTCATCTTCCATCCCAATCTCCTCCCCGCCTCTCTCCTCTCCTCTCCCCTCCTTTGTCCCCCCCCCCCCATGAAATCGTCATCAGCAGCATCGTGGTCCCCATTGCCATGGACAGCGCCATCCCTCTCCACTCCCATTCATCCCTCTCTCCTCCCGCCCTCTCTCGTCCCGCCCTCTCTCCTCCCCTCTCCCCCACTTTGTCCCTCCACCCCCCCCCACCAGACCATCATCAGCAGCATCGTGTTCCCCATTGCTATGGACAGTGACGTCACCGTGACTCTAATCTTCTTCCCGCCTCTGGACGACCCCACCTGGGTGAACGAGCCGGCCCGGTCCCAGAAGACGAGGATCCGCAATCTCTTTGACTCGCACAAGCTCTCGCTGGGCTCTGCCATAGGCCCGTACACGATCAAAGGCTTCTATGGCCCGGATGGTGAGTGCTGTGAGTGCTGCAAGTGTTGTCTCGCGTTGCTACTGGTGTGAGACTGAGCTCTGGTGGCTGATTTTGAGAATTCTCAAAATCGACCTCCAAAAAAAGGTGACCTCCCTCCCTCTCGAGGCACACAGGGACGTGAATAGTGAGCCATCTCAGGAGTCACTATCCTCGTGCCTTTCTACGCATCGTTTTAAAAGCGCTTCGACTCCTGAGATGGCTCACTATTCACGTTCCTTTCTTCCATGGCCCCTCATCCCCTCTTTCTTTCAGACCCGCCTGCCAACGTCACATCACCGGCACCACCAGCGTCAGATGGGATTTCAATTGCAGTGGTGGTTGGTATAGTGGCAGCAGGAGTGGCGATTCTTGCCCTGCTGCTCGTGGGGCTTACCTGGCTGCTGCTGCGCCGTCAGAAGAAGCGAGGTAAGCTTTCGAATCAACTCAAGAGGTGAATCTTGAGATGACCCAAGTGTGTCCATTGCAGCGGTAGCGAGTATGGTGGCAGCAGGAGTGGCGCTTCTCAAAAATCACCTCGTTGCAGGCAGAGGGTGTGAAGGAAGAGGGTGTGAAGGAAGAGGGTGTGAAAAAGAGGGCCTGAAGCAGTTCAAACTCCCCTTTGAGGCACCTTTTGCTGCCTCAAAAGGCGAATATCGGCCCTTTCCCAACGTCTCATTCCTGTCCCATCCCTCTGCCATCCCTCCACGCCCTATTTCACCTCCCCTGTCCCGTCCACCCAACCCAACCAGACTGGTGGGGGAAGGAGGACTATGAGGCGATAGAGGGCCTAAATTTGGTGGGCGTGGAGCGATTTAAACTGGCACAGCTGGCAGACGCGACCCAGGGGTTCAAAACGCTGCTGGGGGAGGGCGGATATGGCCAGGTACGGACTGAAATGTGGGGCGGGTGTGCAGGGCAGGCGTATCTGTGAGGGGAGGGGAGGACGTATCGTGGGATGGTACAGCAAGCTAGGTACAGCAAGCTAGGTACAGCAAGCTAGGTACAGCAAGCTAGGTACAGCAAGCTAGCAAGCTAGAGGACAATTGGTTGGCATCAGGCGAGAAGGTGGCAGCCAAATGGGACCCCAGCCCTCCCCCAGCTGCATCTCTGTGCACCTTCTTCCATCCCATCCCACTGCACTCGACCCCACACCACGCCACTGCACGCCTAACAGGTGTACCACGGACAGTTGCCTTCGGGGGAGAAGGTGGCAGTAAAACGGGCCAAGCCAGGCGTGCAGGTGGGTTGAATTGAAAGCGTGCTGATGGGTTTGGGCATGTGGCTTTTGAGAATTCTCAAAAGCGGTTTGGGCATGTGGCTTTTGAGAATTCTCAAAAGCGGTTTGGGCATGTGCGGTTGTGGGGAGAAAGCATGCACGGTTCGAGTAGGCGACTTTTGAGGAGCCTCAGAACTAAAATGCTATGTGCATGTTTTTGAGACGTCTCAAAAACACCCTCGCTACACGTAAAATGCTATGTGCATGTATGGTTGAGGGGATTGTGTATAATTTGGTTGGAATGAGCGCAGGGTTTGAGTCAAAATCACCTTTGAGAATTCCCAGGGGTGAGTTTAGTTGGGGGAGCATGTGTGTGTAGGTCAGTGCAGACGTGGTTGCACTTGCTCTCTTTCCAACCCACACAACTCACCCACCACGTGAATTTTACGATTTTTTAGGAGTCTCAAGAACCCACCACGTGAATTTTACTTTTGAGAATTCTCAAAAGTAAAATTCACACAACCCACACAACTCAGACACCACGCCACAGAGCGGCAAGGAGTTCTGCATTGCAATCGACCTGCTGTGGGCAGTGGTGCTGCTATGGGGCTTCTGCTTACCTTTCGTAACTCCCTTTAACCATTCTACACCACTTGCCTTTGAATTCTTCCTGTTCTCCCAGGTGAATAGCGCTGAGTTTCCCAACAAGATAGAGCTGCTGTCGGCAGTGCAGCACTGCAACCTGGTGCCTGCTCAGGGGCTGGGGCTAACCCCTCTGAGGGGCTTCTGCTGACCTTGCCACACTCCCTTCAACCTCCCTGCACCCCACCACACTCCTTCTAAACCTTTCTACACCGACCGTTCTACACCACCCAACACCCCCAGGTGAACGGCAAGGAGTTTCGCAACGAGATAGAGCTGCTGTCGGCAGCGCAGCACTGCAACCTGGTGCTGCTGAAGGGCTTCTGCTGACCTTTTGTAACTCCCTTCAACCTCCTCAAACCACACCACACTCCCTTCAAGCCTTTCTACACCGTCCTACACCCACCCAATACCGCCAGGTGAACGGCAAGGAGTTTCGCAACGAGATAGAGCTGCTGTCGGCAGTGCGGCACCGTAACCTCGTGCTGCTGAAGGGCTTCTGTGTGGAGGCAGGGGAGCAGCTGCTGGTGTATGAATTCATTGAAAAAGGCACTTTGGAAGACATTCTAAGAGGTAAGGATATCGAAGGGGTGGAAAGTGGTGCTGCGAGGTGTGAGAGCTTTCGATGTAGCTATGGTGCAACCTGGTGCTGCTGAGGGGCTTCTGTGTGGAGGCAGGGGAGCAGCTGCTGGTGTATGAATTCATAGAGAAGGGCACTCTGGAGGACATTCTGAGAGGTAAGGAGCGGTATTGAAGGGGTGGAAAGTGGTGCTGCGAGGTGTGAGAGCTTTCGATGTAGCTATGGTGCAACCTGGTGCTGCTGAGGGGCTTCTGTGTGGAGGCAGGGGAGCAGCTGCTGGTGTATGAATTCATCGAGAAGGGCACTCTGGAGGACATTCTGAGAGGTAAGGAGCGGTATTGAAGGGGTGGAAAGTGGTGCTGCGAGGTGTGAGAGCTTTCGATGTAGCTATGGTGCAACCTGGTGCTGCTGAGGGGCTTCTGTGTGGAGGCAGGGGAGCAGCTGCTGGTGTATGAATTCATAGAGAAGGGCACTCTGGAGGACATTCTGAGAGGTAAGGAGCGGTATTGAAGGGGTGGAAAGTGGTGCTGCGAGGTGTGAGAGCTTTCGATGTAGCTATGGTGCAACCTGGTGCTGCTGAGGGGCTTCTGTGTGGAGGCAGGGGAGCAGCTGCTGGTGTATGAATTCATCGAGAAGGGCACTCTGGAGGACATTCTGAGAGGTAAGGAGCGGTATTGAAGGGGTGGAAAGTGGTGCTGCGAGGTGTGAGAGCTTTCGATGTAGCTATGGTGCAACCTGGTGCTGCTGAGGGGCTTCTGTGTGGAGGCAGGGGAGCAGCTGCTGGTGTATGAATTCATCGAGAAGGGCACTCTGGAGGACATTCTAAGAGGTGAGAAGAGGTGATTAAAAGTTGAGAGTGGTGCCACACGCGCGCCTTGGTCCACACGCGCGCCTTGGTCCACGCGCGCGCCTTGGTCCACGCGCGCGCCTTGGTCCTCGCGCGCGCCTCATCTCCCCCCCCCTCCCTCCCTCCCCCCCCTCTCCCCCCCTCTTCCCCCGTATTTCTCCCTCTCATTTCACCAGGAAAATCGGGCATCCACCTGACATGGCAGCAGCGGCTGGACATGGCATGTGGAGCAGCCAGGGGTTTCGCGTACCTGCACCATCAGATCAAGCCGCCCATCATTCACAGAGACGTGAAGGTGGGAGGGAGAGATGGCGTGAGCGAGTGTGAGGGGGAGTGCGTGTCTGTGTGTCCTTGCATGTTCGCGTACCTGCACCATCAGATCAAGCCGCCCTTCACCGCGACGTGAAGGTGGGAGAGGGGGTGAGTGGTAGGGGATGATGCAGGTACAGGGATGATGCAGGTACAGGGATGATGCAGGTACAGGGATGATGCAGGTACAGGGACGATGCAGGTACAGGGATGATGCAGGTACAGGGATGATGCAGGTACAGGGATGATGCAGGTACAGGGATGATGCAGGTACAGGGATGATGCAGGTACAGGGATGATGCAGGTACAGGGATGATGCAGGCAGGGATGATGCAGGTACAGGGATGATGCAGGTACAGGGATGATGCAGGTACAGGGATGATGCAGGTACAGGGATGATGCAGGTACAGGGATGATGCAGGTACAGGGATGATGCAGGTACAGGGATGATGCAGGTACGGGGATGATGCAGGTACGGGGATGATGCAGGTACAGGGATGATGCAGGTACAGGGATGATGCAGGTACAGGGATGATGCAGGTACAGGGATGATGCAGGTACAGGGATGATGCAGGTACAGGGATGATGCAGGTACGGGGATGATGCAGGTACAGGGATGATGCAGGTACGGGGATGATGCAGGCAGGGATGATGCAGGTACAGGGATGATGCAGGTACAGGGATGATGCAGGTACAGGGATGATGCAGGTACAGGGATGATGCAGGTACAGGGATGATGCAGGTACAGGGATGATGCAGGTACAGGGATGATGCAGGTACAGGGATGATGCAGGTACAGGGATGATGCAGGTACAGGGATGATGCAGGCAGGGATGATGCAGGTACAGGGATGATGCAGGTACAGGGATGATGCAGGTACAGGGATGATGCAGGTACAGGGATGATGCAGGTACAGGGATGATGCAGGTACAGGGATGATGCAGGTACAGGGATGATGCAGGTACGGGGATGATGCAGGTACGGGGATGATGCAGGTACGGGGGTGATGCAGGTACAGGGATGATGCAGGTACAGGGATGATGCAGGTACAGGGATGATGCAGGTACAGGGATGATGCAGGTACAGGGATGATGCAGGTACGGGGATGATGCAGGTACAGGGATGATGCAGGTACGGGGATGATGCAGGTACAGGGATGATGCAGGTACAGGGATGATGCAGGTACAGGGATGATGCAGGTACAGGGATGATGCAGGTACAGGGACGATGCAGGTACGGGGACAATGCAGGTACAGGGACGATGCAGGTACAGGGACGATGCAGGTACAGGGATGATGCAGGTACAGGGATGATGCAGGTACAGGGATGATGCAGGTACGGGGATGATGCAGGTACGGGGACGATGCAGGTACAGGGACGATGCAGGTACAGGGACGATGCAGGTACAGGGATGATGCAGGTACAGGGATGATGCAGGTACAGGGATGATGCAGGTACAGGGATGATGCAGGTACAGGGATGATGCAGGTACAGGGGTTCTGAGACGTATCAACACCCAAGGGGGTTCGCCTACCTGCACCATCAGATCAAGCTGCACATCCTCACCCCACCCTTCCCCACCCCACCCCACCCCAACCCACCCCTCCCCACCGCACTGCAGACGGCCAACATCCTGATCACAGCAGTGCGGGAGGCGAAGGTGGCAGACTTTGGGATCTCACTCTTATCATCTGCCCGCATCTCTATCCACCTTACCCCATCCATCCCCACCGCACTTCACCTTACCCCACGACAAACGGCCAACATCTTGATCACGACATCGGGGGAGGCAAAGGTGTGGACTAAGGAATCGCTTTTCCTTCATCATCCCACATCTCCCCGCGCTGCCCCCATCCCCCCCACCCCACCCCACCCCACCCCACCCCACCGCACCGCCCTTTTCCAACCCACCTCACCCCACTACAGACGGCCAACATCCTGATCACAGCAGCGGGGGAGGCGAAGGTGGCAGACTTTGGGATCTCACTCTTATCATCTGCCCCCATCTCTCCCCACCCAACCCCACCCCACCCTACCCCACCCCACCCCACACCACTCCACCGCACCCCACTGCAGACGGCCAACATCCTGATCACAGCAGCAGGGGAGGCGGAGGTGGCAGACTTTGGGATCTCACTTCCCTTATCACCCCCCATCTCCCAATGCTCCCATCCCTCTCACCCCACCCCACCCAACCCCATCACATCCCTCTGCAGACGGCCAACATCCTGATCACAGCAGCAGGGGAGGCGGAGGTGGCAGACTTTGGGATCTCACTTCCCTTATCACCCCCCATCTCCCAATGCTCCCATCCCTCTCACCCCACCCCACCCAACCCCATCACATCCCTCTGCAGACGGCCAACATCCTGATCACAGCAGCAGGGGAGGCGGAGGTGGCAGACTTTGGGATCTCACTTCCCTTATCACCCCCCATCTCACACTGCTCCCATCCCTCTCACCCCACCCCACCCAACCCCATCACATCCCTCTGCAGACGGCCAACATCCTGATCACAGCAGCAGGGGAGGCGGAGGTGGCAGACTTTGGGATCTCACTTCCCTTATCACCCCCCATCTCACACTGCTCCCATCCCTCTCACCCCACCCCACCCAACCCCATCACATCCCTCTGCAGACGGCCAACATCCTGATCACAGCAGCAGGGGAGGCGGAGGTGGCAGACTTTGGGATCTCACTTCCCTTATCACCCCCCATCTCCCAATGCTCCCATCCCTCTCACCCCACCCCACCCAACCCCATCACATCCCTCTGCAGACGGCCAACATCCTGATCACAGCAGCAGGGGAGGCGGAGGTGGCAGACTTTGGGATCTCACTTCCCTTATCACCCCCCATCTCCCAATGCTCCCATCCCTCTCACCCCACCCCACCCAACCCCATCACATCCCTCTGCAGACGGCCAACATCCTGATCACAGCAGCAGGGGAGGCCAAGGTGGCAGACTTCGGGATTTCCAAGGCAGTGATGGAAGGGGAGCAGATGGACACACAGGTCAAGGGGACAGTGGTACGTGACTTTGTGACTGTACGAGGTGTGATTATAAATGGGTGTGACTGGTATGTGACACTAGTGGGTGTGAGAATAGAGGCGTGCAGGTGCGATCAGCTTCAGGGTCTCCAAGGCGGTGATGACACAGCAAGTGTATGTGACATACAGGTGCGCAGAGCATTAGGATCTCCTGCTTGAGGGTTTAGGGTTGTGATTGATGAGTGACGAGTTCAGCTTCAGCATCGTGCTTCAGCCCCATCCCCCCTATCCCTTGCCTCCCCTTTAGATGAAGTTCAGCTCCATCCCCCATCGTTTACCGGGATTCTGACTGCTTCCTCTCAGACCTGCGAAGAGTAACGTGTTCAGCTTCAGCATCCCTCCCTCTACCTTCCCTCCCTCTACCTTCCCTCCCTCCCTTCTCTTCCCGCTCCCATGTGTTCACCCCCTCCCAGGGCTACCTGGACCCCGAGTACTACATGTCAGATCTGCTGACCGAGAAGAGTGACGTGTTCAGCTTCGGCATCGTGCTGCTGGAGATAGCCACGGGTCTCCGGCCAATCAGCGACAACCAGCACATCCGTCAGCTGGTGATCAAGCGCGTCATGGCAGGCGGCAGAGGCGCCACCAGTGTCATTGACCCTGCTCTGCTGAGTGCGGTGGGAGGAGCGATGGAGGGAGAAGGGGGAGCAGGAGGAGGAGGGAGTGTGGAGGTGGTCGTGGATTGCACAGGGCAATCCCAAGGGGCCAACTTTGGCGGTATTCCCGAGGAGGTGGAGGTGACGTTTGAGTGGTTTCTGAAGCTGGGCATGCGGTGCAGCGCCAGGCTGTCGCAGGACCGCCCCACCATGCAACACGTGGCCGCTGAGCTGGACGCCATGCGGGCGAGAGTTATCCAGATTGTGAGGCTCCGAGGAGGAACCAATGGTGCCAGTACTGGCGTTATTACCACTGGTGCTTCAAGCACTGCTTTCAGCACGGGGACCAGTGTGGTTAGTGAGGAGCAATTTTGGGAGGACATGGCAAACGAAGGGGCTCTGGTGCCGGGGTTCGATAACGACGATGAGAAGGAGATGGAGTATGGGCAGGAGATTTATGACAATATGACGCGAGAGAAGGGTGAGGGGCAGGGAAGGCAGGGAACCAGAGGGGTTTCTGGGAGTGTGAGCACTGGAGGGTACACGAGCAGCAGCAGTGAGGGTGTGTGGCGGGCGGGGGGGTCGACGACGGGTTGGACAAGTGACAGTGCCCCGAGCAGGGAAATATGAGGTCTGGCTCTACCAGGGCTTGTGGAAGTGTGAGGCGGTGGAGGGGACACGAGCAGCAGCAGTGAGGATGTGTCCAGGGGGGGGGGGGGGGGGGGAGGGGGGGGGGTCGACGACGGGTTGGACGAGTGACAGTGCCCCGAGCAGGGAAATATGAGGTCTGGCTCTACCAGGGCTTGTGGAAGTGTGAGGCGGTGGAGGGGACACGAGCAGCAGCAGTGAGGATGTGTGCAGGGGGGGGGGGGGGGGGGGGGGGGGGGGGTCGACGACGGGTTGGACGAGTGACAGTGCCCCGAGCAGGGAAATATGAGGTCTGGCTCTACCAGGGCTTGTGGAAGTGTGAGGCGGTGGAGGGGACACGAGCAGCAGCAGTGAGGATGTGTCCAGGGGGAGGGGGGGGGGGGGGGGGGGGGGGGGGGGGGGGGGGGGGGGGGGAGGGGGGGGGGTCGACGACGGGTTGGACGAGTGACAGTGCCCCGAGCAGGGAAATATGAGGTCTGGCTCTACCAGGGCTTGTGGAAGTGTGAGGCGGTGGAGGGGACACGAGCAGCAGCAGTGAGGATGTGTGCAGGGGGGGGGGGGGGGGGGGGAGGGGGGGGGGGTCGACGACGGGTTGGACGAGTGACAGTGCCCCGAGCAGGGAAATATGAGGTCTGGCTCTACCAGGGCTTGTGGAAGTGTGAGGCGGTGGAGGGGACACGAGCAGCAGCAGTGAGGATGTGTGCAGGGGGAGGGGGGGGGGGGGGTCGACGACGGGTTGGACGAGTGACAGTGCCCCGAGCAGGGAAATATGAGGTCTGGCTCTACCAGGGCTTGTGGAAGTGTGAGGTGGTGGAGGGGACACGAGCAGCAGCAATGAGGATGTGTGCAGGGGGGGGGGGGGGGTCGACAATGGGTTGGACTAGTGACAGTGCCCCGAGCAGGGAGATGTGAGACGTGGCAAGCCCAGGAGGAGGAGGTCTGGTCATACCAGGGCAGTGTGGGTGGTGGAGGGTATATGAGTAGCAGCAGTGAGTATAGAGCAGGGGGGGTCAACCGCGGGTTGACCACTGACAGTGCCCCGAGCAGGGAGATCTGAAACGTGGCAAGGTTGCCTGAGAGGAGGAGGCCTGGTCATACCAGCGCGGGAAGTTGGCGAGGAGAGGACCGGAAAGCAGGTTATGAGGCCGGGTATGGGCAGGTGCACTTGATAATAAGAGAGGCAGGTGAGGTGATTTTTTAGGCGCCTCAATAATCGTCTCAATGCAATGAGGACGAGTATGGGCAGGCAGGGGAGAAGGATGAGTATGGGCAGGAGAAATTCGTCTTGTGAGAAGCCGGTGAGGTAGAGGGAACCGGAGAGTGGAGTGACTGTGTCCAGATGAGGGAGTTTTGACATGTGGCAAGCTAGGGAGAAGGTGGCTAGGGGGTCACACGAGGGGGTCATGGAGAATTGACCAAGGTTTCTAAGCACTTAGTAATGAGGTGAATGAGTGTGTTTAGTGTGTGGTTTCCCAGTCGAGTTGTTAAACATAATTTGCTCCATGTGAGCAAATGTTGCATAGAAATATCTTGTTTTTATTTTTGTGTGGTGTTTGCATCCTATACAATTGCACACTCACACGTACGCTTTGTTGTGTGTCAATGAGCAAAACCCTGTTCAAAAGAATAAGGTATATCTTGCAGAGCAAGATGCGGAGCTTTATCATGTGCTGAGCTTGTGTACTTCTAACGTAGCACGCTAAACGAGCCGAACATTTGAACTAGGTTTTCCCGCCAACTGCAGACCTGCAGATCTCTCTCAGTCGCGCTTCGGCGAAGAAAGTATGGTGTCAGCCTTACCGCTGTGAACCAGTCCGAATTCACCAATTTGCAAAAGAAAGCCCTATCAACGCGAACGGTAGGAGCAGCACCAGTAGCAGCATCATCGTCCCCTCCCATTTACGTCTTCGCTTAGCTAGTGACGTCTAAAGATTCTAAGCTGTTCAGTGTGGAGCCAACCGGACTTCATTGCCTCGCTGTGTTAGAGCTGTTATCACAATGGTAAGAAATTTATATTTCAGAATTACTGCTGGAAGCTCGCCTTTCCACTCCTCGGTCCCTTCAAGGGAAGTTTTCGTTTTTGCCGTCCCAAATTCCGTTATTTCCGCTGCATCCATCCTCACCCTCCCCCTCTCTCTCTCGCTCCCAGTCCCCCCTTTTATAGTTGCTCGAGAAATAGTATTGAGCCGACCGAAAAAATCTCTTTAAATCGACTAGAAATTCGTTCTGAGTAACCTCGATACTTGCCTTTCCGCTACCTGCCGTTTTGCTCTTTGTGATCATAGCTTTCAATGCGACCTCACCCGTGGTCTCCTGCTCTCATTTCCCCGTGCATCCTCACCCTTGGTCTGCCTCTCCCGATGCCCTTTGCAGCCTCACCCCCCACTCCCATTCCCCATCGCAGCCTCCCATTCCCCACGTCTTGTCTCCCTTTTCCATTCCCCCTTGTTGCGTATGCCTCGTCTCCCGTGCCCATTCCCCTCTGCAGCCTGAACCCTCCTTTACGGATCGAATTCCCCTTCGCAGCCTCACCCCTCCTTTCCCCACTGCGCTCCCTCATGCAACCTCACCCTCACATTTCATCCTTTACATGCTCTCAGGCCCCTGCAGCCTCACTCCTGGTCTCTGGTCCCAATCCCCCTTGCAACCTCACGATCTGTCTCTCCCACTCGCAACCACCACTTCCCCCTTATCAATGACGTCAATGACAAAACGAGGTCGCTCGGGAAGAAACGGAAAGGGTGGAGAGCACTTTGTTCAGCACGGTGAATGGAGGCGCCGAGAGGAGCCGCATAATGAGTGACTTCTCTGAAGATGCGGAGTCCCCCTTGCAACCTCAAACCAGGCCGCCAGGGAGCATACGGAAAGGGTGAGGAGCACTTTGTTCAGCACGGTGAATGGAGGCGCCGAGAGGAGCCGCATGAGTGATTCTTCCCACCCACTCCATCCTTATGGATTGCGGAGATGAAAAAACAGGCCGTTCAGGAGCATACGGAAAGGGTGGAGAGCACGTCCTATAGCACGGTGACATTGTTGGTTGGTGAAAGAGGCTGATAAAGGAAAGGAGCCTTGGTATTCGAAGAACTACAGAGCTGGCTGAAATACCTGCTTGTAGCAATCAGCGAGGTGACTTTTGAGTCGACTCACAAGTCACCTCATTACAATGTCACACGGCAAGGAGCCTCGGTATTAGAACTACAAAGCTGGCTGAAATACCTGCTTGTAGCAGCCAGCGTTCCCCGGAATAAAGAGCATTGAAACGGTCCCACATAGGCTCTTCTTCGCCTCCTCTAAACTGCTGCTGCCTCCCCAGGCGTGGCCTTCTGATATAAGAACAAACTGTACATAGAATCTGCTTGCAAGAACCAACCAACCAGCACCACGTCACATCACCTGCTTGTAGCAGCCCGCGTTCCCCGGGATAAAGAGCACATGCACTCTGTCAAACTATATGTGCTGCATATTGTCTAGGCTGTAGTGGGGTACAACCCAATTAGGGTTTACTACTTGTACTCCTGCATCCTGTTAGTTCACATCATTTCCTGCTGCTAGATTCTAACATGGTTTCAGAGCACTAAGGTCCGTAGGACCGTTTTTTTTTTTCGGGCCCACCTACCGCTGCGGTTACCGCGCTACCCCACGTGCCTGCCTGCCTTGCCTTGCCTTGTGACGTGCTGCCCTAGGCCGGTGCGCTGCCCCTAGAGGCCCGTAAGGCCCGCGCGCCGCCTCTACACGCCTGTCAGGCCCGCACACACACTTCTACCGCGCGCTGCCCGCACCGAGACCGCGCAGCCCGCCCCGAGTCGCGCGCAGCCCGCTGCAGCCACGCGCAGCCCGCACCGAGCCGCGCGCAGCCCGCTGCAGCCGCGCGCAGCCTGCACCGAGCCGCGCACAGCCCGCTGCAGCCGCGCGCAGCCCGCACCGAGCCGCGCGCAGCTCGCAGCTGCCGCGCGCAGCCCGCGCCGAGCCCACGCAGCCCGCGTCGAGCCGCGCGCGGCCTGCTACGGCCTCGCGAGGCCCGCGCGCGGCCCGCAGCAGCCCGCGCCGAGCCGCGCGCGGCCTGCTACTACTCGGCCGCGCGCGGCCCGCGCGCGGCCCGCAACAGCCCGCGCCGAGCCGCGCGCGGCCCGCTACTACCTAGCGCGGCCGCGCGCGGCCTGCAGCAGCTCCGGGCGCTGTCCGCGCAGCCCGCGCCGAGCCGCGCGCGGCCCTCTGCCTCGGCCTCGACCTGCCGCTGATGCGGCCCCGCCCTGCAGCTGCCGCGGCCCCGACCTGCCGCTGATGCGGCCCCGCCCTGCAGCTGCCACGGCCCCGACCTGCCGCTGACGCGGCCCCGCCCTGCAGCTGCCACGGCCCCGACCTGCCGCTGATGCGGCCCCCCGCCTGCCACGGCCCCGACCTGCTACTGCCGCTGAAGCGGCCCCGCCCTGCAGCTGCTTCGGCCCTGCTCTGCAGCCGGTGTTGCGGCCCCGACGTCGCCGCTATCGAGCGCCGGCCCTGCTCGCCCGGTGAGCGCCTGCTCTCCCAGCCTTTGGTGAGCGACTGCCTGCCTGCCTGACGGCCTGCCTGCCTGCCTGCCTGCCTGCCTGCCTGCCTGCCTGCCGGCCTGCCTGCCTGCCTGCCTGCGCGCCTGCCTGCCTGCCTGCCGGCCTGCCGGCCTGCCTGCCTGCCTGCCGGCCTGCCTGTCTGTCTGCCTGCCTGTCTGCTTGCCTGCCTGCTTGCCTGCCTGCCTGCCACGCCTGGTCAGATGCAGCTCCAGCGACGTTCACGCGAGCCTCTCACGCCCCAGCAGCTTAGTGAGTGGTATACTAGCTGGGGTTGTCGCGGTAGCCGTAGTAGCTGTCGCCCTGGGGCTGGTCAGTTGGGAGCGTCTAGCAGTGGCCAGCTGCAGCTGCAGGGGCGTCCACGCGAGACACTTACGCCTCGGCAGCTCCAGGAGTGGTACGCTCAGTGTAGCAGGTCTACACGTACAGTTCGCTGCC